AAAATCCGTGGTCTGTATTCCGCAAGAGAATTATACCGACCGAGCTACCGCCGCTTGTCGGTGAAGTTAGTGCCAACTTTTGCGGATAGAGGGTGTCACGTGGTCAGCGTAGCGGATCCCCACGGGTTTACGCGTTACAATATAAGTGTGTGTATTTGTATATAACTCTGGTCTAAAGTTCCATATTTTGCCGATAGACGTATCGTAAGAACGGGAAATAAGAACTATGGACCTATAAACACTTGAGATGGAATATCTCATATTACTCTTCATTAATTTTCTCCCATTTCCCAACTTCCGTATTCCGTATTGAGGGGGTGGGTTTCCCCATGCACTTAGACCGGTTACTGGTCCATTGTGCGTCCCCCTTTAATTTCTACTGCCTCCATACCCTACCGGTGCTGGTGCTTACTATCAGCCCCTTTCTGCCAGCGTGGTTCCAACCTCTTACTGGCAGTAGTATCTAATAGTTAGTCCCTTTCTGTCAGCGAGGTCGTCCCTCCTCTGGCAGGGGTTCCTAGTCCCTTTCTCCCAGCAAGGTTTCTACCCTCTACTTGGCAGTGGTATCTAATACTTTAGTCCCTTTCTGTCAGAGAGGTCCCCCTTCCTCTGGCAGTGGAACCTGATACTTCCCCCATCTACCGGAGGAATTGGAAACTACTTGGGCGGAAAACTTGGCCTAATTTTGCTCAGAGGTCTCCTAGAGACATGAGGTTCTTTTACGTGCCGTAAATCTACGACACGGGACCCACGGCTTAAAGTTCCTCCCGGAGGACTTGTTCCCTGAATTTTTCCGCATTTCTCAACTTAATTAAAGTGAAAAAATGGGAATAAACTAGATATTCGTTCTGACATTTTCTTATTTCTGTAAATAACTGCTTATAAAATCGAGTTAGTAGACATAACAGGGCACGCTGACTAACGAAATACTGGTATATTTAAAATGTATGAAAATTATTAAAAATACAGGTCTTACACTCATCACGGAATGTAGTAATTCTAGCTGGTCTATGTCTACTGAACTATGAGTTTTAGGTCCAGGGCACACAAAGGAAACTGACAACCGCAACGCAACCCCAACGCAGCCGCGATTTCCGAGAAATGTTATCAGCCTGAGTTGAACACATGTTACTGAATGGAGGAGCACAAATTGAGGAAATGGCAACGCAACTCGCGGAGAGACTGAGAAACTCAATTTCCGGGCAACGGAGCATGTCAGTATTCTCATAAATGCGTTGCTGCGTGGTTTCCTAGTGTCAGGTGTTCTGTGATGCGCTTCAATGATTCATTTGTTTGTTAAGGTGGCACGAAAGGATGACGAAGTTGCTAATTTTGTTTTTGTGCAGTTAATTGAGCAAGAGCATGGTATATATGACAAACGCCACCCAGACTATACTAGGCAGGGCAAAATAGATTTGGCTTGGGAAAGAATTTCCCATGAGACGAAGGAGTCTTGATCCAAGTTAAGTTCTTTCGAAACAATATAAGGCCCTTCAGTTTAAATCTTTACAGAAGAACGGATGCACTCAGTGTTTTCTTTTTCTAATACTGTATTTAAACATCCAGTTGCATTAATATATCATTTATTTCACATATATTTCCCTCTTAAATACAATTTATTATGTAGTCACCCTTTTTCCACGTTACATGGTTCGGCTGTGTACGGCCATCATTAGGTGCCTTCTATCGTACTAAAATTGTTTTACTGTATGTCAAAATTTCGTATAGCTTGTGAACGCATTATTTCCTGATTAAAATAAATTAACCTTAATTAAAACATATTAAATAATATACCAATATTTACCTTACGGCCGTCGTCCTCTCTTCTCACGCCGTCTCAGCCGGTCTCAACTACCGCCATATTATGACAGTATTAGTATTATTATCTTCCACTACAGAAGGCGAGTGTATGAAATTAAAAAAATATAATCATGCATTACGTCGGACAAATATACTCACTTGAGATGATGTGAGCAATTAATCAAAGATAATTTTCCGAAGTGTGCGTTTATTAAGCTGGAAGCCAGTTGCCTGCTTGAAATCGGCGAAATTCCTCGGAAATTGCGGTTTCGTTGCGGTTGCCAGTTTCCTTGGTGTGCCCTCTCCCTTAGAATACTTACCAAGAATTACCATGAAGGTGCTGACCTCAGTCCCATTATGTTATAACGGAAGAAGTTATTAACAAAGATGATGAACTTATTAAATTCTTTAGCTTTTGAGAATCTTGCTTTAAAGTGATCAGTCAGGCACAGTGTCGGGGGGGGGGGATTTCAACTTACCTGTCAGATTCAGAACCGAGAGAGCTTCTACACAAAATGGGTATCACTGTCTCTTCTCCAGAGATGAAGCGGTCGGAGCGTGAATCGTACTACGTGCAGAGGTTTAGAATAAATGGATATTTGCATCCACTGCAAATAGACATTGCGCATCTTTACCTGCCCATGAGATTTTACGGCGATGAATATTAAGATTACGAACTTTTGGGATATGTTGTCTTTTATTTTGGTAGACAGGTATACAAGTTTCTCGGAAATCTATTGCCAATTTCTTCAAAGTACTGGTCCCTCTATCCTTAAGATGATCTCAGTGCGTTGCTCCTAAACGGTGTATCTGTCTATCAAACAACATGGCGCTTCACATCAAGAGACCATAAACTTATTACTGACATTTGTCGTTACGTGTTCGCAAATTCATACACACTTTGTGTGCTTAATTAATTCTAATATATTTGGCGAATTTCGAAGGCTACAGAAACAAATTTAGAGTGTTTCTCTACAGTATGAGATAATGCTAACTTTTCTGTGTCCTCCGAACCAATTATGTTTCCTTCTGCAATAATTCTTTACAAGATGAATGACTTTTAGAGAATGTTGAGTTAAGGGCCTTAAATGTGATTCGTCAAATACTTTGATCAAAATTAAATGATACTGACAATTTTCAACAAAGGTAGAATCTGATGTTCTCACAGCGGTAGTTATGAGTTCTGTTCTCTGAGATGTAAAGTCTTGTAGTCCGATAAATGTCATCCGATCTTTCGGAGGAACATGTGGCGTCTATCTTCAGGATCGAAGAATTAGACAAACAAGAAACCAACATGGGAGCAGGTGGCAAGCAGAGCAATGATTGACTTTGACTTTCAACGGACTACACGGTGTTACACCCAGAAGCTGGAACTCTTCAAGAACTTCCATTGACTATTGTCTATTATTATTTGCTGTATTTGCAGTTTATTTGGCGACGTCGCCAGTAAATCTGACCGCATTGCGTCGAATTAATAATGAATTCATGAATAATAATTAATGAATAATTTGAAAAAAAGAAGGAAGTGGTCATGGCTCAATTTCAGGTACTAAATTGTACAGCTTTGCTTGCCGCGTGTTTCATGCTGGGTTCTTCCTTGGTTTATTCTTCAACCCTGAAGATGTTGGCGACATGTTACTACGAAAAGTCGGTTGACTTCCAACGGACTATACGGCGTTGCATCCCAGAACATAGAACACTTCAATTTCCATCAATAATTCTTTGAGATATATCTCGTTAAATTTTCTTCTTCTTTCTTTCCTTGGCACTACAGCCCCAGTGGGCCTAGGCCTACCTCCATGAACTTCTCCGTTCACTTCGGTTTTTCTAGATCTTACACATTCGGTAGGACTCCTTGGGCGGGTGATCTGTTCGTCGCAAGGCCTCTACCTGTACACAAACACAGAAAATTGCACACACACAAATTAAACATCCATGCCCTGAGTGGGATTCGAACCCACGATCCCGGTTTCCAAGCGAGCGAAGACAGTACGTGCCTTAGACCGCTCGGCTACCGTGACCGGCAGTGTATAAGAATAATATATAAGAATTCATTTCGTACCTCACAGGAAACATCGGAATCCACGATCCAGGTTTCCAGGCCAGCGAAGACAGTACATGCCTTAGACCGCTCGGCTACCGTGACCAGCCGTTAAATTTTCAGTGAATGTAAAATTACCCCTAATAAAAAGTCGTGTTTAGAAGGAAGTTGTATATATTTAAGCCTCCTTTTCCTTCTTAAATATGTGAAAAAGCATATAAAATTGTTTTCTGGTAAAATTTAGTTATAGAAGAAAGAACCGGTGTCTAAGCAATGATATTGCTTTGTAAACTTGTGTAATTAATTGCGATCCTTAGTCTATTCTTTAAAGAACGCCATGAATATAAACCGTACGAAAATTACTGGTAAGCATTAATGCGATTAGTATGCTGCATATACGTATTTTATTATCTCAGAATGAGTTTTCGAGATAATTGTCAAACAGGACTACTGTACTCGTACATGAAAATACTTATTTTAAAAAGAAGACGTTTGTGGTCCAATGTGCGTTTGTCCCCAGCATGCGAAGCAGAATAGAAGACGCATGAGTGCAAACACTCATTATTAAGGCACGTCCACATTATTCGTGCTCGTGTGACTCGCTATGTCCGCGAGTAATGTGGACAATATGACAAATCACGAGGCAAGCAAATTAAAAACTTTTAATTTAAATACTATAACCAATAAATTAAAATACGACCACAGCCTATACACACTACGAGTAAATATACGGATCTTCACGCGCCGAAGCCTGGCGAACAACTGAAGTAGTGTGGACGAAGATTTACGAGCACAAGTAAAAGCCAGACGAGTCTCCCGACGAGCACAAGCCTGGCGAGCACGAGCACGAGCATGAGTAATGTGGATGCACCTTTAAAGTATAAAATACTCTTAGATGGAACTAAACGTAATATGAAAAATAGAGTTGCCTTCGTGATAAGACTTAATAAACACTTACCGACCAATTCACGCCCTGTCAGTATGTTTGACGTAAATGCCTTGCAAATTAAGACACACACTTACCGATCAATCAGTAACTACAAGTAATTTGTCACGGTCCCCTCCTCTCCGCAACTTGCCCCTTTACCAGTGGACTGCAACAAAGGAGGAAAGGAGAGATGTCCAGTCGGCAACTCGCTCGAGGTTACATTAGCCCAGCTGCCTCGCGCTGAGCTGCAGACCGGCGCATCACCCACTCGCCTGAGCTACGAACAGTAATGATAAGGATAAGCTGCCTGAGGGGCACAGTCGGCTCTGCCTTGTACATGTAGCACCGACGGGCTACACGTTGGACTTGAAACACATTTCTAACTACTGCTACGGAGTTCGGAACCCGGTGAGTTGGAACTTGAAAATAAATACGACTTCAGCTATACGCGGCTATGTGGTAGTCTCAGTTGACACCACGTACACGTAATTTGGTAACTAGAGATAGAGGACGTTTACTCCTAAAACAATCTGGCACCAATGTCGAAGAGTCAGCTTAATTTTGAACCCTGGGAAGGAAGTAGTACATTCCTCCGAAACGCCGGTAAAATTCTATCAGATTTCATGGCGTCACATCTTCATAGTCACGGCCGTGACAATCTGAAACCACGATCGTGTTTCTGGAGATGCAATATGTCTGCTGTGAGAAAGAAACCGAATTCTTAGAAGAAGCCTGTGTTTCAAAATGTTAAGGAGCAGACGCATGTCAACGTGAGAAGGTTCATTATTGTAGCAGTCGTGTAAATCGTGAAGGACGTGGGGTTCGAAGACATCTCTCTTATGCTCGCACTTACTTATCAACTCCACCAAATGGGGCTACCGAACGACTTCGAATGTTCGAAAGCTGGAGATCCCGCTTTTTAGTTTTCGGGTCGGCGGCAGCCTATCATACAATGTAAATAACAGCGTTTTTCCTTACAAAAATTATTTCAAATATACACAATATAAATATAAATATAATTAATATATAATATAATAAATATAATCGTAAATATAATTTGAATTTGTTTCCGAATCTGAACTTTGCCACATTTCGAAGGATTTTCAGACATTCCCTAACATGGCCACTGTGGGCTCACATGCGGTCACAAGCTATTTCTATTGTTAATATGTAATAAAATAAAAGTATCACAATTTTGGGAAGAATAAAATTCATTGACAATTTCTAACCAATATCATGTGTCTGTGCTACGTAGCAGAAAATCCAAACTTTATTTATTTATTAACATTAATCATTAATCATGTATCATTTCTTGAAGAAAAAAGTATCACAAGCAGCCCTTCGGTTAGCTGTGAGGACACGTCAAGTGAGCATATTGCAATTTAGTGACCTGCTATAAATTGACGTAATCACATTTTTCTTGCGTTCACTTAAAATTGTAAATGCATAAAAACCGTCTTTACAGGATTTATTTTACATGTAAAAAGTTATATGTTTCAAGCTGCTTGATGGCAGAATATGTTCAAATGCTGCCAAAGGAATTATATGCTTCAAAGCTGTTGTTATATACATCTTATGAGACCTATATTTTACTACTTCAGTATAGCCTAGCTTAGTGGCCGCTCAGTCTAAGGCTCGTAAAGCCTTCGACGGTTTGAACTTTAGGATTGGCTGTCTGACAACCACTTGTGGCGCAGCGTTTGTGTCCCCATTTATGTTGTCCTGTGAAGTTAGAGGCCTTCTATTGAGTCGATTTCCGTCGTCTGAAGAGCCTAGCATACACTTAAAATGAATAATATTTTCAAAAATTAATTTCGAATTGGAGCAGGCCAGAGGGACTATTCTATCTGAATGAAGAAGAGAGAAGAATATTATATAATTGCATCTTGTTTTAGCAACAGGATAAAATACGTGTAACACTAAATTAGTTGTAAATAATGTGTGTAAATTCAGTTTCTACCACACACGAAACGCATAGTGTCTACGTTACAAAGACCAACTAGGTGTTTTGGGGGAAAACCCGTTGTTTATAGTGAGAACCGTATGAAACATACAGGTATATTCTGTGGACAATGTTAAAGCACGTGGTACACACAGAACAACTTGGATTTAAAGGGTTGAATTAGCTTAGAGAAATCAATATATTCAAATAGTTACTTTTATTCCTTTTACCATTGTACCTAGGCAATAATACTCATAATCAGTTAGTGCAGCAATGGGTTATGGGCTGGACGGTTGGGGTTTGATTCCTGGCAGGGGTAAGAATGTTTTCTCTGCTCAACAGCGTTTAGATCGGCTCTGGGGCCCACTCAGAATCATCCAGTGGATATCGGGGTCTCTTTCGCCGAGGCTAAAGCGTTCAGGGCGTGTAGGTGACCAGTCATCCCCCACCTAGTACTGAGCTAAAGAATGGTGGAGCTATACTTCCACTCCACCATACGTTTTAAACATTGAAGCACAGCACAACTTTGCGTCATTTTACCTAAGCTAAAAGAATTTATGTTCTACAACTTGACGCGTGTTGGAATGCGTCAAGGGACTCAGTTGTTTAAAGATACTTACATAATTTTCCTTTTAATGGACGGCAGAAAATGTATCTTTCAAGGTCTCAAGAGTGAGGATTCCTGAATGTCGCTATTGTTGGAAACTATACGCGAACACAAGGTTAATTGGTCCTCACTTCAGCCATATCCGTACTACCTTGTTAGAAAATGAGTTGCATTACCGACTGATATAGTGCAGCTACACAATATCATTTTCCTGTTTTCACTTTTAGTTTCATTTTTATATTTTGCATCCTGTTTTTCATGATTGCACCCGGTACTGTGGCCTTCGACACAATAATGAGTGGGTAGTTTATAGTTTTACAAACGATTGGAATATATGTATATAATATAACAACCAGTTTATTGTAACTATCCACTATATGTTTCAGTCTGGAGACCCTCATTAGGTGTCCATAAATAAATAAATAAATAAAATACATTCATTCAGTTCTACAGTAACGTGTTATATTTATTTATTTATGCCGGTCACAGTAACCGCGCGGTCTAACGCATCAACAGTCTTCGCTTTCTCAGACGCTGGGATCGTGGGTTCGAATCCCATTCAGGGCATAGATGTTTGGTGTGTGTGTGTATTCGTTTATACTGTGTTTAGGTAGAGGCCTTGCGATGAGTTGATCACTGGTCCAATGAGTCCTGCCGTCTGTGAAAAATGATTACGGAACTGAATAAGAGGCCAGGGTCCTGAATTGGCTGGTAAAGCCATTGAAAAAAAAATTATAGACACTTGATGATGGCTCCAGAACGAAACATATAGTGCGATAGTTATAATAAATTGATTGTTATATTACATACATATATATATATATATTCCAATCGTTTATAAAAAATATAATCAACCTACTTATTGCTGTGTCCACTGCCACAGTGTCAGCGAAGAATATTTTTCTGGTTCTGGTCATGATGCACTTGATGATGATTATCACCGTTTGCTCCTAGCTAAGGCGGTGAGAGGGTGACTTCTCACGGCGAGTTTCGGGTTCAGTCCCGAGTGAATTCATGTGCGAATCGTGAAGGGTGAAGAGGTAATGAAGCAGATTTTCTTCCGAGTTCCTTCCATCTACCACTGTTCCATAACCATCTATTATCACCTCCGAGATCTCCAGCAATCCTGATCAGGCAGCACATTATAACATTCTCCGTCTTTAAGTTAAGGGCTATAACTGTCACACACAGACTAAAATTCTGTCCATATACCCAGCTTCAAACACGAAAGTACCTCTGGTGAACTGCAAACTTGTCAAAAAATTCCCCTTTTTATCGAACGCGATGGTTCATTTGTGTGATAAAAGAATTTATCACAAGATACCCATTATTTTTTTTTCCGATTTTAACCAAAATTGTAATCGTTCGACAGATTTTCCTTAATGACCCCAGTATAAAAATAAATGAAAATCTGTTCTGGCCTGTCGATTTGCTTAATACTTTTTTAGTTATTGACAGTCGGACGGAGTGGCCTTAGGGGCTCGCAGTAAAGCCAGTACACTTAATATTGAAGAATCTACTCAGTTCCTTTCATAGCAAAACCGAGAGTTACCAACCTACACGAGAACACAGTCCATTATAGTAATAGAAGTTATCTTTTGAGTTTTTATTAGTTTATGAAAATTTCCACATAACCTTACCCGGTGCCAGGAAGGTTAGCACAGCGATATCGTTGCCGTATCTGTTCAAGTACACGTACCTTCAGTTGTTGACGAAAGACAGTAAAGCAACTTTTCAGCAAACAAGAATTCGAACATGCTAGCCTTTTATTTAGTATTAGGCTTAAACTCTTTGAATAAACCATCTTAAGTGCATTGAGCTTGAATAGCATAAGCATTTCCTGAGCAATATCACGCACCGACTAAGTGATTTCGTTCCTTCATGCTGATCGAATGAAATTAATTACCGAAAGTATAAGACTTGCATGAAAAGTAAGGTACTAGGGTAAAAGGTAAGGTAAAGCTATCCCTGTAACAGGCCATGGAGGCCCATAGGATTGTGAGACGTTGAGGGTCCTATATTATCTAGACAGTCGGCTCACAGATGGCCGTAAGAGCCATAGTGGGACTGGAAGGATTAGGTCAAATGAGAAAAAAAATCCACCTCATCGGGACTCGAACTCGCGACTTTCTGTCTTGTATCATAGTGCAAGGTACGAGGAAGTGTCAGTAAGTAAGTCATAAATAAATATAAAACGTAAAACATATGATATTCCAAACTAGAAAATGCATTATTTTTCGACACATCTTCCAACACAATGGTATATTTGTCCCATCACTTCGTCCAAAGCCGCAGCATGGAAGTCTTTTGACTGTAGTCTCAACCACTTCCGCAAGTCTGTTTCAACCTCTTCATCAGCTACACGTTTGCCACAAAAGTGTTTTTCTTTTAGCGGACCAAACAGATGGCAGTCCCTTGGGCCCAATTCCGAGCTGTAAGGCTGATGTTCAAGAAGTTCCTACTGTAGTTCTTGGATTCACTCCTGGGTTGCTCGGGCTGTATGGGGTCTGGCATTGTCATGAGGAAACAGTACCCCTCTTGTAAGTTGTCCTGGACGTTTTCTGCGTACTGCATCCCGAACTTCAACAGAAGTTCACAGTACGATGCAGAATTAACATTTTCACCACGCTTCTGAAAATGGGCTAATAGCACTCCCTGAGAATCCCAAAACATGGAAAGCATAATAGTCCCAGCTAATGGTGTAACCTTAACTTTTTGGGTGAAGGTGAACTGGGTCGTTTCCATTGAACTGAAGCACGCTTTGATTCGGACTGGTACTCATACACCCATGGTTCGTCCCCAGGTACATTCCTGTAAAGCATATCTTCTCCTTCATCTACATGCCGTAAGAGATGTTGCGAGGACAGAGCCATTCGAGTCTTTTGTTTCTCTCGATCTTTCAGTTCTCTGGACACACACCGTGTCTACACTTTCCGAAACTTCAATTGATCATGAACGAGTATTATGCTCTATGCTAAACCATGGGAATACCCTAGTGCAGTTGCTACCCTGTCTAAAGTTATCCTCCTGTCAGCACGAATCAACTCTTCCAATCGCTGCACAGTTCAGAGTTACGTCCGTTCAAATCTCAACAGTGCGACCTGGTCGGACATCATCTGCGACTTTCGAACGGCCTTGACAGAAATTATCGACATAGATATGAACCGCTTTACGCGACAAACACTTCCCACAGTAAATATGAAATATTTCTAAATGAATATTCTTTAAACTGAGTACTCTTGCCCACAAAAAGCGGCACATCAGAACGCTGCTCTCCGGCAGTATACTTCTCGAGCACAGTCGCCATTTTGACTACTGAAACCAGCCTTTGAACATGCATATGGGTGTCTGCTACCATGACTGTCATGAAGCTGGACTGTGATGGTATCTAGTGATACACATAAAAAACCTATTACATCCCTTACAGCTGTTTTACTTGCATTTGTGACCTATTTACTGACTCCCCCTCGTATAACACCATTAAGATGTCAACAGAAGTAGAAAAAAGCTACATTTCGAATTATGCCGATATTAATAATTTAGCGTGCTCATTTTGCTGGAAGGAGGAATACCCTTTAAGAAAAGTAAAATCAACCCTGAGCTTATCTAATTACGCACTGCGCCATGAAAATTTATGGGGGAGTGGATGTATTAGTCCACGTTTTGTTAATCTCTGCAGTGGCTGGAGGCGAGTGGCTAACTTGACGCCCCTACCGCAGGGAAAGAGACTCCGGAACCCGTTGAGTACGAGGCTGGGAAGATAGGTCCATTGAACCCAATTAAATAACAGTATGCTGTTAAGTGAAGTGCTTAGGCAAAGCTTGTTTATGAAAAGCAAACAGACAAAAATATCTTCCTTCGTAGCCTTTCATATATAAGGTACATACGATGTAAATAAAAATGTACAAGCTTGATATCAAAATCGTTATTATTATTATTATTATTATTATTATTATTATTATTATTATTATTATTATTTTCTTTGACTTTATAATGTGTTTGTCTATAATGTAATTACTTTTATCTACACTGTGCTCTGTCTCTAATTGGCCTTGCGGCTGTTGACTCGGCACATAAATAATAAAGAATTGAATTGAACTGAAGAATTGAATTATTAATATTATTATTGTTGAGTTAATTTCAATAGTTGGAGAGGTTAGTGTCTCTGAATCAGAGATACGAGTATGTCTTGTCTCTTACTTGTACAGAAGGAAAAGTTTGTGTAATATTAGAAAATCAAATGAAATTAATATTTTCAGCTCATAACGTGCTCTTCTGGTCAACGACATTGTGTACTTTCGTATATGGTTACTAATGTTGCGGAGAAACCTGCTACCTCTGCCTTCAGGATATCTTAAAAGTACAAAGTTTCACAACCCAGAAAATCGTCTGCCATGAAAACCTCAAACGTTAAATAATTTCGAAAGCCACGTATTCATTACGTCATATCAGTTACTCACGTACTAAGACTAAGTACTTGGCCGATTTCAATTAAACTCCGTAATACTCTATTCAGTAGAGCAACTCTAAATTTGATCTACCAATTATTATTCTGCTTAAATTTGGGCATCATACAAAAGCAGCTTTATGCAAAGATCTCATTTCTGCAGCCATCTTGTATAAGCTGGAAACTGGATGAAATTCAGATATTCGTCATGATTACTAAATATAATTCTACAGCGATTACTGGTAATAAGATTGGTTTTACTTGCTATTTCCTTGCTTTACTGTTTGATATCGAAGACGGGGGCGGTGATTCCTCTGAAACGTCAGTGAAAATCTGCCGCACATCTCAAGATAACAGTGCTCTTAATACGTATTTAAACGCTACAAGTGTTTTGCATTCACTACACAAAGCGATATCAGAATGGAGGTAACATTCTTGCTAAGTTTCAATATAGACTTGAATTATGTTTAAGCTGCCAGTAGTCCATGTGACAGTGCAAAGTAGATGATTAGTGTTTTCATCGCTTCGCTGTCGCGGTGGGTTTTCTGAAGATGTTGTTAATAAAACTAACTCTTATTAGCAATAGTTAGATGTCTTACTTATGTTGTCCTTGCAGCCAAAGGTCTGATACTTGAATAGGGTACTTTCAATTACCCTACCAGAAACACGAATGCTTACTCTAATAGTAGGTGTTACTAAAATAGCTGGGTTTATGGGTTCATCTCTTGGAGAAGCTAATAAGAATTCAAAGTTTGTACTCGTGCAAATTTACCTTCAAAATTTATTAGCCTTGTGTAGGATATGACGTTCTCACTGCGGTGGTTATGAAGAGTTCTGTCTTGTAGGATATAATCCCATTTAGTCTGTTTGAAAGTCAACCGACGTTTAGGAGGAACATGTTGATTCCATCTTCAGGGTCGAAGAATAAGTCAGGCAGGAAACAAGGCTTGTCGAAATTTCGGATTACGTACGAAAGAGGAGGGAAGTGTAAGGCGGCTGGTCATTTCCTGTCGGCCCCTCCGGCATTAATTTACTTAAAAAGAAGAAATATAAAATATAATTAGTAAATGTGTCCCATATCGAATTCCAACAAAATCTTTGGAAGGGTTTGGAAATGTGAAAAATTCCTCTTATGACTATAAGCAGACCAGGCTTTCATTATGTATCAGTATGCCTGAAAATTTGAAGTAGTCAATAACTTAAATGGGAGTATTCCGTACTCAGTTTCAATAAAATCTACTAAAGGATATATGGAAAATTTATTTATTGCATTATACAACGTAGGCATCATTGCGAATCAATATAATCGTGGATGTAAATCGCAACCGTCAGAAAGTTTTCTATGGAAGACTTCTAGGTCGCGTTTCAGCCATTTCTGTAAAATGTTAATGGGATATGTGGAAAACGCATTTCATGACCATATGCATACTAGGTTTCATTACGAATTAATACGACTAAAATTCCGAACTGCTTAACAATATTTGGCTGATGTCATCCATATTAAATTTCAACAATATCTGCAACATTGTTTATAGGATACATGGAAACGCCCATTTATTGCCTTATGTAATAATGTTCCCCTCTCCTTTGGGATCTACAATAAGAAATTGACAAAATAGATTAGCTGCCAATATATATTACAATTAGGCGCTTTTCAGACAAGTAATATCCATTCTAAATATGGGAGATCAGTATCTTAAATCAAGTTGTATGAAAATGCATATAACAAAAAATGTTTGTGTTTCTGGAACAATATCTCATGTAATATTATATGTTGAACTAGGGTCTATATCGTCAAACGTAATTGTAGATTAGATGGAGGGGTTCTTTAATTTGGATATATATTATATTTTCTTTTGTTAATATTTGTGAGAAATATGGGTATAAAACTTCATAACTATTGGTAACCAAGGGGAGTATTACATAGGCCTGTATATCTAGAGTTGAAAGTGGATCGTGATGTTGCAAAATCTTCTGCTATACTTAACAAAACTGAGTAGGTTTTAATCAGGTTGGGACTCCATGAAAAGTACACTGCAAGCTGCAGAAGACAAGAAACCGGGTTCCCTGAAAGACCCACTTGTGTGAATATTTCACTCGATATGCAGTCGAATTTGAATTGAGCCTCGAAATGGTTTTCTTTTATATACATAGCTAGACGTTAACTTCTGCTATTCTGCACATATTCATGTAATTAATATTTTTAAAATGTTACAGTTTCTTCTTTAGGGAGCAGGGCTAACGTAGTCGGTATAGCGACTGCTATGGGCTAGGCAACCGAGGGGTCGGAGTTCGACTCCCGGTAGGGTCAAGACTTTTTTCTCCTCCATGTCGTCCAGACAGGCTCTGGGGCCCACTTAGCCTCCTATTCAATGGGTAACGGGGATAAAGCGGACGGGGCGTGAAGCTGACCACTCAGCTCCAACTAGTGCCGAGGTCAAGAAAATATGGATCTATACATCCACTCCCCCATACGCCTTCATGGCGTAGTACTTAATTAGTTCACCACAGGCACAACTTTGTCTTACATTTTCTTCTTTTCTAAAACACAAGATTTTCGTACGTGCTGTAGATGTGTTTCTTTTATTCCTTCCACTTCAATATGGTTCTATTTTATGAATTGCAATTCTAAAAAAAATCGTATGTTTCCTATCCGAAATAAGGAACTAACCTATAAAACACTGCGCTACCATTTTCGAATACCCTTCCTTTATAGCTCTTTGCCTTTTATTTAGTTTTAAAATATATGCTGCATTTGAGATCATAATAAGTATTAATGCTCATACTAGATATATTAAGCTACCTGAAAGCAACAATGTACTAGCGGTTCAGTGTTCTGCCAACAAAAAATATGGCTCCCAGGTTAATTATTCGAAATACGGCACTCCACATCACAGCTATTTCGAGACATAAATATGACAGATATTTCTCTGTGTTTTCAGGTTGCGTATCGTCGGAGTTACGATCTGCCCACTTCAGATCACGCAGTGTGTCCCTCCATTACCGGCCACCGTGAAGATATTTCCATTCCCGTTCAACCGCGTGCCGCTGACAAGAGTATCAGAATGTTACTTTGAAAGTATCAGAGATGATTCTCGAAGTTTTCTATAGACTCTCATGGTTGATTCGAAATTGGTAGCTGTATTCCTTGCTACGTTACATAAGAGCAATTAATTATATGTGCTATATTAAGCAATGACCTATAAATGAAGTGTGCAATACAATTTACAAATTCTGAAATTTCCGATTTAAACCTACATTTTGGGGGTTACTTCTTCCGAAACAAATATTTTGTCGGAACGTTCTACTGCTGTAACCTAGTAGTCTTCGAGGAATAACAGTAGTCACTAAATTACATATTTTGGCCCAACTGTATGAATGTTATAAAACGAGATAAAGTGAAGTCAGTTCTCTATAAGCCCTTAGGATCACTAAATGTTACAAAATAAGCAATACACGGTTTAGAATTGCAACAGTATAAGTTATTAGCTCTGACCGTCATCACTTTATGAGGTGGAATGGATAAGAATCACCGTTTCAACGTGAAGAAAGTTTTAGAAACTAGTGCTCTTCCAGGCGTCTCCAAAATGAAGGCTTCTACCGACGGCAATATTCCGGATTTAGACCAGGGAAACGTCACGTATCCCGTTGTCAGCAGCGACCCAAAGATCCGCCGCAATTCTCTAGCTCAGCTCACCCGAGAGGCTCTGCCCCGCGTGGATCATTACCGAAATTGCATTGAGGCCACAAAGAGACCGTCCTTGGGAGAGCTGTACGGCGAACCAAGTGGAGTAAAGGTAAGAGATTTCAATGCAAGTGAAAGAACTCAACAACCAGAAGGGAATTGAATTGAAATTTCTTCTTATTTTCCATCCTCTCTATAAGCATGCCAAATTTTGGCCCATGTATTTTATAGGATTGCAAAATATCAGCGATAGAGAGTCAGTGAAAGTATGATTGTCCTTAGACGAAACGCGGACTTCTGATGAGTTGTATGAGCAGCAAAAAGAAACAAGCAGGTAATCTGATACATCCAACACCGACCACGATAAAACTTGCTCAGTATCTCAAGGAAAGTACTCAATTCTCTCCACAATTATTTTTGTCTTTATTTCTGCTACTCACTGCTGATTTAATACGACCTGTGTCCTCAGGTTAGTCATCAATGGGATGACAAAATGTAATTTTAGTTTGACTGAAAAGACTCCACACCCAAATTTAGCGATGTGATCAAACAACCTGCACAACACCTTACAATTTCGTATAAAATATGTATTTGTTTATGCCTTTTAAATAAAAATTAAAAATTAAACATCTGTGTAAAGTGTGAAAAGAACAATGTTAAGGTAAGTTACCTAAAATGGATGTAAGCTATGGATATTTCGGATGAAAGTATCTCTACTAACGGGCCGCATGTGTTATGGCCCGCGGTTCACTTTTGGAGATTGACAGCGCATCTGAAAGCATGTCTTACGTAACCTTTGTCACCCACGGTTTCAGACTGAAGGTAGAAACAGGCAATGCATCGGCAGATGTGCGACTTTTCACAAAATTTGCAATACGTACAAAGGTGATTAGCGACTGAAATAAATATTGTACATCGATATTACAGACAACTGGCCGACTTTTATAAACCTCAGTGTGGACAACGAGCTACTACAGACCTTCTTGTTTTACTAACTTCATAATATTTTATATAAAGTAAAGGTAAATTTATCCCTGTAACAGGCTATGGAGACCCATAGGATTGTGAGACGTCGAGGTTGCCACATATTTTTGACAATCGACTCACAGATGGCGGTGAGTTTGCCAGTCTCACACCCCGGCTGCCCCAGGAAGATTCCTGGTATTCATTTCTGTTAGAGACTGAAATTCTGTTACTGTATCTAGATGGAAAGAAAGAGCAGGAGAATACAGATACAAATCTGTAGACCCAAGGGCAAGAGCCCACACTCGTAAGACCTGTTACATCTTCAAGAGGCTGTAGAAGTAGAAATTTTATTGTACATGTCCCATTCAGTAGGCAAGATTGTTAAGCGTAATTCATTAAGAATTATTTATTGGCAAGACGAAAACTGTCTTCGCCCTTTCGAAAATTAGGATCATGGATTCAGATCCCACTCGAGGTATCGGTGTTTGTCTGGTTTCATTATTTTCTTTTTCGTGTTGTCCTGTGTAGGGAACGTCCTTGCAACGAGCTATTTCCCATTCAAGTAGTCTGTAAGAATATATATTTCAGATTAATTCTGAAATGGGAACAGGAGAGAGGACTTAATCCATCGAAGGAAGAAGATGAAACACGGCATATACAATCCACGATGACTGTCATTTCTTATCATAAACCTCGACAGACGTCATATTATAGGAAGTAATTAAGATGTTTGATAATACGTAAAATTTCTAAGAAATCTTTACAAATTCTACGGTAGTCAAAAGATTACTAACATGATTACATTGTGACTGTCCATAGTTATAGTTGTACAATACAAAATATCTCTAAGATCGGAGTTATAATTAGAATATTCAGCATAAAAATTAAGCTAGTTAAATAAGTTAATTACTAAAAGAACTGGTATCGATTGATTCTTAAGTCCTTTCATATTTAAAACTTAGATATATGTTAGTTCTTGTGGTCATATTCAGAGCTATCAACTGCTCAGAAATAGGCTGAATCTTTCGGTCCGTGAATTAATAATGCCACTGTTTAAGTAAGTGTAGATTGTACTTCTTTTGGCTCATTTTGGACTTCACCCATCGTCTGGTATGTAAAAGACAAAAAACCACCACGTTTCGGAGACTGGATCTGTCTCCGTCTTCAGGTGGATAGAGACCCAACTGAGTAGGTATATCCTTCCCTATCCACCTGAAGACGGAGACAGATCCAGTCTCCGAAACGTGGTGGTTTTTTGTCTTTTACATACCAGACGATGGGTGAAGTCCAAAATAAGCCAAAAGAAGTACAGTATACACCATCGTCAGAATCCTTTCAAGTCTATCCAAGTGTAGATTGGTTGAGTGTAGATGAAAGTGACCTACAAGGAGCATCGCTTCTGGGCTCACACGTATTGTATGATAGAATGTTGATATAACGTGCTTTTAATACAACTTCCCTTTAGCAAAATGTGTACCTCGAACATTTCCCACTGTTAAAACACAATGCACGAAATTTGTACGTTCATATCGCTTCGTTCTATTTGTGAGGACAAACCAAGTATGACTAGAATTCCTTATCATCAAGCAAGGTGAGGTAATAATATACTTCCTTTGTGGTGAGATGGGTGACTATTAAAGTAGTATGAGCCAGTTTGTACTGGAATGAATGGCTTTTGACCGGTTCCGTAGGCCATATACGTATTTTCAGTAGTGACTTCATTTTAAGGGTACGCTAACTGGTTCGCTCACGCTCTGTTACAACAGAAACTTGTGTCATTTACGTCATCCACTGAAAGACATGTTGACGAAGAGTGATAGATACCAATTGTATGAGCCTTAGGAGTTTCGTGGCGCTTGTCCCTGCTTCACCCTGTCCAGCTTCTCTATCTGGCTCTAAACGTTTCCTTAATATTCCCATGAACACCACTGAAAACATTAAATTACTATTTGAGCAGTATCCGGACGACAACAAAGGTAATATAACATGTGAAGGATCAGGTGTAAGAATAAGCAATATGAAATCTCTCCCGTGTTATCGCCGAATTCGCTTTTACTAGTCCAGAACTTTTAATAAATTAGTCGGGATATCTCATTTGGTATAACGAATGGCTATGGGATGGACGCCCGGCTTTGGAATCCAAACGGAGGCAACATTTTTCTCTTCTACATAGTTTCCAAAGTGACTGCGGGGCCCATTCAGTGTCCTATCTAACTGGTACTGGGTGCTCTTTTCCCGGGAATAAAGCGACAGGGGCATGAAACTGATCATTCACCCCAATTTAGTGTTGAGTTGAAGAATTGTGAGGCTATACCTTCACTAGCTTGAGGAACGCAAACCTCGCGGAAGGATATCTATCTGTATGTGCTACAGTGCAGCCTGCTAGCTGACCCTGTGAATCTCTTTCCACAGGATGGCGATATCGAATCTCGGAGACCTGAAGAGACGGGCGGAAATCATGGCATCAAACTGGGCTGGATCCAAGGGGTGCTCATCCCCTGCCTCCTTAATATTTGGGGCGTTATGCTGTTCTTGCGCTTGTCCTGGGTTGTGGCACAGTCCGGAATAAGTACGTATCATCTCACGACAGACCTGTTTACTCTGGTGTTTCACTTTTGTTTTATAGCCTTTTAGAAGCACAACGGAGAAGCTACGGGCTGGACGGCAGGAATTCGATCCCCGGAAGGAGTAAGTTTTCTCTTTTCCATAGAGTCCGGGCCCACTCAACCTTCTATCCACTGGGTACTGGACTCCCTTTCTATGGGGATAAATTGGCAGAGGCGTGAAGCTGACCACTCACTTCTATCTATTGCCGGGGTTAATATTAGTGGAGCTGTACATGCACTCATCCATATTTCTCCACGGCGTGATGCCTAATTAATAAAGCACAGGGATAAACTTACTTTTGCTTCACCTTTAGAAACCACCGAGCTGTATTAAATAATTATTTGAGATTTGACGGCCTATAAAATTTCAAAGCGGCTAAAGCAGACTCCGTCATCGGATACAGATCTTGAGCCAATTCAATCCAAATCATCTCAATGAAATCTATTTTCCTCAGGTCTAGTTTAACATAACCGTCCAGCTACATTTTCTATTGGTTATTTAACGACGCTTTCGGTGTCGAGGCTGCATGTCGTTGGATGATTGAATGTTTGAAGAATGATTAATTGCGAAGGATTTGGAAGAAAAGTGTACTTGGTTAATTGAAGTATTATCGCGGCATTTGCTTGGGGTTATAGAGGAACACCACAAAAGCCTCAGTCAGGATAGGCGTCTCGGACGAAATTAGGATAAAGCACTTCCTCAATAAAAATATATTGCGTTACTTCTAGCTCAACAGGTTTGGCGATCTGTTATATTCTATAATTTTGAACTAAATGAGGTGTAATATCAAATCGTACGTTGGAATTGGTACAACTTAATCTCTGCCAACTACTTGACCAAGTCAGAACCAAGAAGCCCTCCGAAATGCCAACAGATTGCTTCTCACATTTTCTAGAAAGTGCTTGAAGAGAAACGATATCTCGAGTCCGTGAAATTAAGTCTCATGGCGTTAAACTCTAATAACATTCCACATGTAAGGAGGCCGTCACTAAAACATCGAGTTTTCTCGTCACAATGTCTGTACACAGCTAAACACCGTTTTATCTTGAAATTATTTCTGATTCAATTTCATAATTTTGTGGCACCATAACCAGTACTTATTCTGCAAACTGTAAGAAAACCCTTGACGATTTTCTGTTTGCATCGTACAAGGAAGAAGCTAAATCTAATATGACTTTTAATACTATGAATGATACAAGAATATTTTACAAAAAATACTATCAATTTTTATTCTAACGAACTTATACATTTAATGCCGTCTTTAAAAATTTGAAGACAACAACTTATTCCTTTCTAAATAATGCACAATTATAAGTTATAATTGACACTTAAATTAATGTTTACTACATTACAATCAGTAGGGGAAACGTACCAAGGAAGCAGCAGTAAATAGCCATTAGATTTAAGAATATTTCTAAAAACATGCATTACTCATGGAGCTGAGCCCTTCCTGAGGAGTCGCCAATTCTGCAGCTACTCAAGAATTTCCCAGCATTTTATGGAACACCAATGTTCATTACCGTATCCACAAGAGCCCTCCGCTGGTAATTATCCCGAGCCAGATCAATCCAATCCATCCCATCCTCTCTTTCTAAGCTCCATTTCAATATTGTCCACCCACCTACGTCTTGGTATTCGCAGTGGTATCTTTCCTTCTGGCTTTCCCACCAATATCTCATATGCATTCCTCGTCTCCCCCATTCGTGCTACATGACCTGCCTATCTCATCCTCTTTGACTTGATCATTCTAAATATACTTGGAGAATAGTACAAGTTATGAAGCTCCTCACTGTGCAGTTTTTTCNAATGCACAATTATAAGTTATAATTGACACTTAAATTAATGTTTACTACATTACAATCAGTAGGGGAAACGTACCAAGGAAGCAGCAGTAAATAGCCATTAGATTTAAGAATATTTCTAAAAACATGCATTACTCATGGAGCTGAGCCCTTCCTGAGGAGTCGCCAATTCTGCAGCTACTCAAGAATTTCCCAGCATTTTATGGAACACCAATGTTCATTACCGTATCCACAAGAGCCCTCCGCTGGTAATTATCCCGAGCCAGATCAATCCAATCCATCCCATCCTCTCTTTCTAAGCTCCATTTCAATATTGTCCACCCACCTACGTCTTGGTCTTCGCAGTGGTATCTTTCCTTCTGGCTTTCCCACCAATATCTCATATGCATTCCTCGTCTCCCCCATTCGTGCTACATGACCTGCCTATCTCATACTCCTTGACTTGATCATTCTAAATATACTTGGAGAATAGTACAAGTTATGAAGCTCCTCACTGTGCAGTTTTTTCCAAACTCCTGTCACTTCATCTCTCTTCGGCCCAAATATTCTCCTCAACACCCTGTTCTCGAACATCCTCAGTCTATGTTCCTCCCATAAAGTCAGAGACCAAGTTTCACACCCATACAGAACCACAGGCAAAATTATAGTTCTGTATATTCTAATTTTTATGTTTTTGGACAACAGACGAGAAGACAAAAGGTTCTGGACTGAATGGTAGCAAGCATTACCCGAGTTCAATCTCCTCTTATCTAACAACTTACATGCAAATAATCGCTGGAGAATGGAATTCTATAATTTTCCATTTTTTTTGTAATGAAAAGATTTGCACTACAGCAGAACTGTTTTTTCGGTATCCACAATGATAACTTCCTATTACAATTCCTCTATGTGGCAAAATTCTCTGAAATAAGATATTTTTAACACTTTATAAGCTGTATTTAGAAGACTTATCCCTCTATAGTTATGATATTCAATTTGGTCTCCTTCCTTATTTGGGCACACGAGATTTTTCTCCTGTTTTTAAGGATCCATTCCACTATCCATATTTATAGAATGATATGATGTAGTTCATTGGCAATTTCTTTATCATCATATTTTAACAGTTCTGCCATTACTCTGTATATCGTACATATAGTATATGTAATGTATATATAAAACAGACTGTTCGAAGTATATTATGGATCATGGAAAGTTTGTCCCCATTTTCTCTTTTCCTTTTGTTGTCATGCAACAGGATATCCCGTGTGCGAATGATCCACAGCTTTGTAAGTTGCATCTTCTGTCGAATGCATTTAGTATCACAGTCAAAATTGCGTTTCAGAGATACGCGAACACACAACTGCCAACTGTTAAAATTTATTGAATGAAACTGAAGTTATTTTAACTTTCTTAATTTGTTATTAGTTTCCATATATTCATTAAAATTGATTATAAAGTTTAATTTATGAACCTCCAAATGAGCAGGAATGTCTCAGTCGGTACGGCAAAGGACTAAGGGCTGGAAGACCGTGATTCGATTATTGGCAGGGGGAAGATATTCTTGCCTTTCCACAGTGTCTCAGACCGGCTCTGGGGCCCACCTAACACCCTATCCGGTGAGTGCTGGAAGCAGCCAGGACCTGAGGCTGACCACTCACCTCTGTCTAGTGCCGAGGTCAAGAAGAGTGCAGATATATCTCCAATCATACGAGTTCATGATGTGGTGCTTATTTAATTAAGTTCAGGGACGAATTTACCTTTTTACCTAAAACTTCCAGCAGCACCATGGCCCCGGTGTCAACTGAGCCTCTAACAGAAATGAGTAACAGGATCTTCCTAGGGCTAAAGTGCGGCGGGCACGTAAGATTGATATCACCGCTTTGAGCTGATTGTCTATAAGATGTGGGATCCTCGACGTCTCACAATCTTATGGGCCTCCATGGCTTCACCTTTCTTTCTTTACCTGTTACCTCCGAAGTGAATTTATCTGAAATTGGCAACAGTCGGTGTCAATATGCATTTGGATATGGGGCATGACAAATGTAAGAGTGAAACAACTCCTTTACGAACTCTGTGAAATTTCTTTTACTTCTTCTTCAAGCACCACATAGAAGGCGTGTTGCGGATCCCTTATCACTGATCTGTTCGTCGTTTATGCGTCGGTCTCTGTTTCTCTTTGCCTAGAAAGTGATATCCTGCAATTATGTGACGACAAATTACCATTGAGAATTCTCTAAATGTTTCTCGGCAAACTGTCTAGTTACGTCTCCATATCATTATCCAAATTTAGCATGAAGCTTGTGTCTAACATATTGGAATATGCATGTAAATATATACGGTCTGATCGCAGGTTTTAAAAGCCTTATTCACGCAAAATGTAATGTAATTTTATTCTTCATTTCCAACCAAGGCAATACTTCCACAAATTAAGCGTTTTATCGGCATTGCGCAACAGAACTTTTTCTGCATCTTCCTGTTTTCATTTTCCTGATTTTACGAGTATATCAGATTTCATAACATATATCACTAAGATGTAGGTTTCTATTGGGAAGTTAAAAATACTCATCATATCAAGAAATTCCTCTCCTTGTGGGACTCGAAAATACATCACTATTTTTAAAATAGCCTGCCCTTTTAGTCTATTCAGAGGAGAGGGATGCAGTCAGCCCTAATCATAATGAAGGGCGGTATGACAGCATAAAATTTTGTCTTGAATTATTAGTCTGTACTGAAACTATCGCCTTATTTATTGCAGTTCAATCTCTCATCATTATCGGTATATCGACTGTTGTCTGCGTGTTGACTACACTGTCTCTCTCAGCCATCTGCACCAATGGAGAAGTTAAAGGAGGTAAGAATTTATCACCAAGTTATGGACACGACATTGTAATCATAAGAGGAATTGCATCTTCCAACAGCATAAGCATAACACTCACTAATTAAATAATATAATAATAAATAATAATAAACTTCGTTCAGGGCAGAAAGAAAGAGACCTGGTCATGTGTTAAGAGGCTTCTTCCCTTGTTGTAGGTGGTGTGTACTACATCATCTCGCGGTCACTGGGTCCAGAATTTGGGGCTTCTATCGGCATTGTGTTTGCATTTGCGAATACTGTAGCGGCGTCGATGAACACCATTGGATTCTGCGACTCTCTTAATGAACTCCTGCATTCTAAAGGACTTCAGATTGTTGACGGTGATGTTAATGACGTCAGAATTGTTGGTACCATCGCCATTTTAGTCATGTGCATCACATGTGCTGTGGGAATGGAATGGGAATCAAAGGTAATGGCAGTATTACATATGCTTGGCTACAGTAATGCGAACAGCGGTACACACAAAAAGAGTTTCGTAAAGGATTCTGCCAAGATTTGCTTCATAGTATATTTACAAAGCGAACTGCATGCGTATAATATTGTCGCGTGTTTCCTAGGTAACGCGAGAAGAAAATTTACGTGGTTTCGGATTTGGCGAATATGTTTATTGGACAATCACTCTTTACATTGTACACTCTTCTTCATAAGGCTCGACAGTTTCATTTCTTGAACGCTTTGGCCTGCTCAACAATTTCTTTCCAACTACTTCTGTCCTGTGCGCGAGTTATCCAGTTATAAATCCTGAGTCCTTTAGATCTTCCCTTGCCTCATCTTTCCAGCTGGTCTTTGGTCGGCTTCTCTTTCTTATAGTGTGTGGCTGCCAGTCATACATTCTTCTAATGGTTCGTCCAGCCTCCATCCTTGAGATGTGTCCAAGCCAACTTATTGTTTGGGCTTTGTTGAAATTAACTAAGTTCCTTCCATTTATTAGATTGTCTAGTTCATCATTTGTTTAATTCTCCATGAACCATCATACTTTACATTGTACACTCACAAATACAATTATTCGCACTTACAACGTCTTCGGACGTTTCCTCTTCAATGTTATACGTGTACATTCTCACCGCTAATCTCGGTAAAATGTCTTCCGCTCTACTCGGAGCTCAACTGTCCTTAGCTCTTGTCTGATACGAACTGTTATATCCCGCACTCGGGCTGAATAGGGAACACCTTGTCGAAGGGTTCAGTTTCTCCCGTTTCTATGCAAACGTATCTCTTGTTGCCGCATGAATACATGTTTACTGTCTCAAACAATTCTTTTGTAACGGTGGAAAGCCCACTGTTAGACTTCGATCTCCGGAGCAGCGATTTCCTAGGGATAACTTTCTCATTGTCCGTTGCGTAACGACGGATGTTTTATAGTCCGGCTTTCAGGCAGCACGTCACAATATATTACAGAAATATATGTACGTTCCATCCATCACGTGTATCAGATTCAAGAATATGGTAAGTAAACACTTATGCTTTTTAAACCAGACGAGTTAAGAGAGGGAAGATTTATTCGACGCACATAAACACTGAAAGCTGGGAAAATTTGAGAGCTTTGTAATAATATTGCAAAGAAACTTTCATTTTCTCACGAGACTTTAATTCCACTTTATAATATCTCCGCTAGTGTACTAGTATAAAATTCTAAATGTTTACATTGACTCCATAATTAATTTTTCCTCACTATAACAAAGAATTGTATTAATATTGTGACATGTGGGCTGTCTCTAGGAAACGAATTGGCAAATACGTTGCCACGGAGAGAGATTCTTGGAAAACAACTGGTTACGGAACACGGTTTCCATGGATACGAAAACTGAAAGTTATAAAACACTTAGAAATGAGACCGTTGCTTCAGAATTAACGCAAGTTTTCCGAGATAGCACATTCATGAAGAGCAGTAATGAAGCCCTTGGAGGCGGCGATCTCTTTTCGGTTCTCTTGCAGCTATAACAGACAGTTCATTCGTGAATTCAGTTCATTCAGAGATTCTTTGGAGAGATTTGTCAGAGAGATGTCGTTCAGAAGAAGTTTAATGCGTTAGCCGTTATAATTGCCTGTAATTGTAATGAAGCGCTAATAAACCAACTCATCAAATCCAGAATCAATTATTATTAGTCACGCGAACACCGCATTCGTGACAACATATACCGTTATCTGTAAAATTCTTATATGAAAATATTATCTTTCAGGCACAAAACGTCCTCACTATCATCATTGTTGCCGCAATAATTGATTTTATTGTTGGTGCAATCATCGGTCCAAGGAGCGTCCTGCAACTAGCCCAAGGATTCGTCGGGTTTAACTGTGAGTAGGATACCGCTATGTTCTCTAGAGCTGCTCTTAATTCTCACTCTTCGCTACGCAATTACGTGAATAACCCCATCCAGCAGAGCCCTTCTTGAGAAGTTAACAAGGACTCAACTAGTCAACAAATCCTCCCCGTTTATAGAACTCCAAAGTTGGCTGTCGTGTTCAGAAGAACCATATCCTGAGCCAAAAAACTTTCACGAGTTATTTTCCTAAGAGCCATTTTAATATTATCCTCCCACCATCTGCTGACAGAAATGTTGTACTAAGTCATTAAAATCAGCCCATTTATTCGGTTCTGGCAATTTTAAGTGCCGAGCATATTTAAGATCAGCTCACTGCGTAAGAAATAAGTGTTGACGTGCATCTGCAGCATAACCGAGAGAAGTTTCCTGTTGCAGTGACTGTTATGCAGCAAAACTTGGGCCCCGGCTACAGGTTCAGCGAGAATGTGAATCAGGACTTCTTCTCAGTGTTCTCTATTTTTTTCCCATCCGTCACTGGCATTCAGGCCGGAGCCAATATTTCGGGAGATCTCAAGGTCAGTCTGCTTTTATTCTCCGGTGCACAAATATTAGTATATTTCACTTTTCTTTTGTATTTAAGGAGGGTCTATATTTTTCTAGAAACACAGCCTACATGACTTAGTCCTTATAATATCTAGGCTATGAACTGGACGACAGGAGAATCGGGCTTCATTCTGCGGTGGGGACAATGATTGGTCCCTTGTACAGAGAGGTTCTGGAACCTACCAATTCTCCTATAAAATGAATATTAGGGAATCTTCACCGGGGGGTTAAAGCGGTAGGTGCGTGAATTCGACCAGACACTTACACTTAATGTTTAATTAAGCCCAGGGAAACTTTAGCTTTTAGGCCTATATTACTGAGTGTATGCCTTATCTAGAGCCGGTCACGGTAGCCGAGCGGTCTAAGGCATGTACTGTCTTCACTTGCTCGGAAGCCGGAATCGTGGGTTCGAATCCCACTCAGGGCATGGATGTTTGTGTGCGTTTTTCTGTGTTTGTGTACAGGTAGAGGCCTTGCGACGGGCTGATCGCTCGCCCAAGGAGTCCTACAGCATGTGTAAAATCTAGTAAACGGAAGTGAAACGGAGAGTTTCATGGAGGTAGGCCTAGGTCCAAATTGGGGCTGTAGCGCCACAGGAAAAAAAAGTACCTTATCTAGAGGTAAAAAGGTAAAGTTGTCCTTGCACTTAACTAATGAAGCACTACGCCCTGAAGGCGTATGGGGAGTGGGTGTATAAATCCACAATTTCTAGCTGGATGTGAGTGGTTAACTTCAGCCGCAGCTTTCCCAAGAGGAAAGAGGCCCCCGTACCCATTGGATAGGAGGTTGGGTGGAACCCAGAGCCAGTCTAGACGACTTGGAGAAGAGAAAATTCTTGCCCCCACAGGGACTCGAACTCTGACCTCTCGGTCTTCCAGCCTGTAACCAGTCGCTATCCCAACTTCAAACAGACCGCGTTCGTCCGCTTCATATTCCTTGCTTATTCATTACTCAAGGTCACCTTTTCTAATTTGACGATACGTACACATATACGGCAGGGGCACGCGGTAGCGTAGTTGGTTGAGGCACTACGCTACATGCCGGAAGGTCGCCGGATCCAATCCCGATGAAGTTAGTGGAGTTTTCAATTGACCTGATCCTTCCACCCTTACTATGGCCCCGGGGTAGACTCAGCCTCTAACAGATATGAGTACCAGGGATCTTCTTGGGGGGCAAAGGACGACCAGCGCGTAAGGATGATAATCTTACCGCCAACTGTGAGCCGATTGTCTAGTAGAAGATGTGGGAGCCTCGACCTCTCACACCCCTACGGGACTTCAGGGTCTGTTACAGGGACAGCTTTACCTTTTAACAGATGCCACTGTAAGAATTAAAATGTAATATTTCTCGATACTGACAAGGTCGTGAAATAACCAAGTTAGAAAATATCAGCTTAGCTACTCTTTAGTAAATATACGTAACTTAGTCCAGTTTTCTATTCTTCATAATAAGTACTCGAAATATTATTAATTATTAAACTTAAACTTATTAATGCTTGTAATATCTAAACTTCATTTCAAAAACATGCATCACAGAAAATTTTTCTAGTAGTGATGTGAATTTAATTAATATTTAAAAGAGTATTTTTCTTCTGTAGAGAATATTTCTCGACATGTCAGAATGTTCTGGAATAATTAAAATAATATTGCTGAATTCACTATTTCTGTTTTAGAAGAAGATGCTTCTTACACCAAGTTACTGTACACAATCTTGTATATTAGTATAAAGTGAAAAGCATTATTTCGTTGCTGAATATCACAGGATCCTTCGAAAGCCATCCCAAAGGGTACAATGCTGGCTCTGCTCATCTCTATGGCATCCTACGTAGTCTTTGTCTTGTTTGCTGGAGCCACCGCTGCCAGGGATGCCAGTGGGATTGTGGGAGATGTAGGCAGTGGCATTGAATTCCACTGTTTTCCTGACAGGAACTGTGAGTGGGGACTCATGAATAGTTACTCTGTAAGTAAACTCGTAGAGAATGACCTAAGGTGTAATAGAACTATTCACCATCCATATTCTGTTAGGGTCTCATTGGTGTGTAGGAACATTTATCTGCTTCAGTTTAAATCGCCTGTATCCGTTGGGTCTATATTTGTATCAATCTTTTCTTATCTAAGATTATAAGGGTCCATAGACTATATCATATAATAGATCTCTCCTGATGTTATGATCAAACAATCAGTGGTACAGCACTGTTCTCAGGAACCTCTCTCTGTTGCTGAAAGTACAGCTTATAGCTCTTTGTCGAAGCCCAGCATTCGTATTCTTGTATATCACCACAAACCAACTTCAAGAACACTAAGTTATTATGATTTTAGACATTATTCATCCTTCTGGCTTTTATTTAAAACACAAAATTTCAGAGACTTGTTTCTGTCTCCGTCTTCAGGTAAAAACCTACTCAGTTAGGTCCGATCGATAGAGTTATTCCCTATCTCCAGACACCAGCACCAGCAAAAGAAGGATCTTAAAACTATGTTGTGGTTGTTTTATACTGTATATACATAGAGGTACTCCCTATCTCCGGATACGAGCACCAACACAAGATAGGATATACAAAAAGTATTGTGGTTCGTTTGTGTACCCTACCTTGTGTTGGTGCTGCTGTCCGGAGAGGGGGACTAGTTCTATCAATCGGTCCCAACTGAGTAGGTTTTTACTTGAATATGGAGACAGAATTCAGTCTTCGAAACGCTGTGTTTTAAATAGGAAACAGGATGATGGGCAACGTTCAGACACACAATAGTTGTACTAATGTAACATCGTCACAAATTTGAGATCTTATTTAAGAGTACTGTCTTCTGGAATGTGAGGCCCATGTAACCTGGTAGCTCTTCATAGAAGTTTCGAAGAGTATCAGAAAAAATTATCCTACCACGCGGTATCACATTCCAGTTAATAATATCCGAGAGGACCTCAACATTACCAAGTGTACTTTGTATGTGCCCTATCAGATGATGCAGGTTGTGTCAATCTGGGGACCTCTGATTTACGCCGGCTGCTTTGCGGCAACTCTGTCTACTGCTCTGACCAACCTCTTATCAGTGCCAAGACTAATCCAGGCACTTGGCATCGACAGAATATATCCAGGGCTTATATTTTTCTCAAAGGGTTACGGCAGGTCTGGTGAACCATACCGAGGATATGTCCTTACATTTCTCATCTCCACAGCCTTCCTCCTCATAGGTAAGTTCCAGCAATTGCAGTCGGGGGGTTACGTTGTGTAAGATCTGGAGATTTTACCTCTGCTAAAGTTGATAGTCTCGGGCTGTCAGTTTGTTAAAAACTACTGAGGTTACAGGGCCCACCTCTGTCCCAAACATCAGAATTTTATGTGACGTATGATTCACATCGCAGGTGGTTTTATTGTCACCAGGTACAAAATGTAACGATTATGGCTTCTGCCTCTCTCTCTCTCAGGTATAATATAGGAATCCATGCCTTAGATATTGGTACCCATAGGGCAATATTTAAATTTGTCTCTGACTGCAGGATGATACGTCAATAGATCTGACATCTTGGGGCAGAGTCTTTGGGAAACTAGTATTTACCCGGGTTCTCAGGCAATTTCCCGCCTTTGTGGAACCCGAAATTAAATTACTGTAAGAATTAAGGCATTCTGGTCTGCAACGTTATGTGGTTCTGACGGAGCTGGCCATTTTTAAGGAAAATGTGGCCACCATCTTCAGGACAGAGGAGTAAGAACAGAAAGAAACCGGCAGCAGCAGGCAGCAAGCGAATCCAGACAAATGTAGCCGAAATAGGTACAGCGGCGTGGAAGTCTGCAAAAAAAAAAAAATACACAAACTCCACAGGTTTATCCTATCCAAATTCAGAGAAATAGATTTCTACCTTTCTCCCATGGCTCAGATGGGAAGTATATACAAATACTGCTATTTGAGTTATCGCCTCAGCGAATGTATCCAAAGTGTAGAGTTCTTCAAAAGCTAAGAGTCCCTCACGTATTCCCACGAATCCCATTTTAAAGCTGTTTCCCCCTGGGTACCCTACATCTCTCAGGCGGTCTCTCCTTTCAGTAATTCACGCACATTTGAATAAATTGACGTAAAATTTCATTTTATAATAGGAAGCCCCCAAAGATGGTCATATACGACAGAAATATCCCGGGTTTTATCATTGTCTATTAATTAATTAAGAACTGGGTGCAGTAGACGGTATTTTTCAATGTTTCATTTACTATAATTCCCGTTGCAGTGGCCGCTCATGAAACGTATTCTCCCACTCAGACACTGATAGCGTGGGTTCGAATCCCACTCGAAGCATGGATGTCTGCCTTATTTATTTGTTTATGTTGTCCTACGTAGGTTGCAACGGGCTGATCACACGTCCGAGAAGTCCTGCCAGCTGTCTATAAGATCCATTGTTCCCTATGAATTGTGATAAGATGAAGCCAGAAGGGTTAATCCATCAAAAGTAGAAGAAAATGAAAAATTTACTATAATTATTTGAGTTTTCATTTGAGTTTGGGGTACGCGGTAACATAGTTGATTGAGACACTTATGTTAGAAGCCGGAAGATCGCGGGTTCGATTCCTGATGAAGTCATTGGACTTGGCAATTGACCTAACCCTTCCAGCCTCTCTATGGCCATGAGGTCGACTCAGCCTCTTACAGAAATCAGTACCAGGAATCTTCTTGTGGACAAAGGGCTTCCGGCGCGTGAGGCTGACAAGCTCACTGTTGTCGCTGAGCCGATTGTCTAGAAAATGTGGGAACCTCGACGTCTAACGATCCTATGGGCCTCCACAGCCTATTAAATAATAGCTTTATTTTTACCTTTATTGTTTGATTTTAAACACGAGTAACGTTGGGATTAATTGTGACAATGTTTCAGCCCAGCTGAATGTGATCGCTCCCCTAATATCCAACTTTTATCTGGCATCGTACGCTCTCATAAACTTCTGTACATTCCATGCAGCCCTCGTCAAACCACTCGGGTGGAGGCCGGAATTCAAGGTGAGAAAATCACATTCTCTCAAAGTTAAACAATCATACAAATTTTCATAACGTCAAAATAATTGCAATTTTTAATTTTAAAAGAAGTTTTCTGTATGTAGCGTTCATATTTGTTTGGAGGGTTCTTTTATTATAAATATGTCGGTCTGTAAATAAAGGCCAGCCTTGGTATCTGTAAGCTTTTTATAAATTTTAAGTATTTGAAGCATGTGCAGATCTTATCCCAGTTATTTGCTGATTTCATTTCCTGCCTCCATTTATTACAAAAAAAAAATGTATTGCTGCAAACCTAATCACGCTGCAGATACCCCACTAATTACATGTAATTTATTTTTCATTTTATACAAGCTCATCGGATAACTAATTCAAATTATGTTTTAGGTTTTTTGGCACGTATATGCAATTCTTCTTTGCATTTTTAACTGAAACTTGGTCTTTGACATTAAGGGAGGAACATAGACTGAAGGTGTCTGAGAACAGGGTGCTGAGGAGAATGTTTGGACAGAAGAGGGATGAAGTTAGGGAAGGTTAGACAAAACTGCATATTAAAAACCTTCATACCTTGTACTCTTCTTCTAGTTACGTAGAATGATCAAATCAATGAGGATGAGATGGGCAGAGAATGTAACACGAATGGCTGGGAAGAGGAATTCATATAGAATATTGATGGGAAAGCTAGAAGGAAGGAGATTACTAGGAAGACCAAGCCGTAGATGTGCGGATAATATTAAAATGGATCTTAGAGAGATAGGATGGTGCTGTATGAACTGGCTCTATCTCGTTCAGGATAGAGACTAGTGGAAGGCTCTTGTGAACACGTAATGAACCTTCGGGTTCCATAAAATTTTGGGAACTTCTTGTTCTGACAACAGTGAATATTAGTGCTTTGGAGGAACCGTCTGCCTCCAACTTCAGGGTACATTATTGAGACAGCAGATTCCTTCGACAAATTGATGCCTTACGAAAGGACCACAAGGAGTCACATCCAAGGAAATCGTTATTATCCTAGAGCAGGAAGGATTTTGAACCAAACTTCACATAAGTAGGAAACTTACATTTAAATAATTAGATTAAATGCAATTTTTATTACAAAAATGTTGTTTACAGGAAAGAAAACCGGCATTGCAAACTTAAATACGAATTTAATTCGATACTATATAATATCTAAAAAATTGTGTCGTTCTTGCGACGTTTGAAATTTCCATAGCGACGAGCATAAATATTATTATCTTCTTGGAAGTGACAGTGTGTAATTAGGAATATAGACATATTATTAGATGAACACTGTATAGTCTGGTAAATATATCAGAATACATTCGTTCACATCCCAGAAGACTTTAATTTTGGGTGTGGAATTATTTGGACAAGCAGAGAACCTAAAATTGAAATAGATCTAAAGATAGAAATTACGAAGTTATGAAAAGGATTTTATTTCCTGACGGTCAGGCCAAATGACAATGCTATTATATATTAATTAGCTTAGTTAAATAGCTTGTCATGTAAATAATTAATATATTTAGTGGCTTACTGGATTAGTTGATATCACTTCTCTAGTAATGTTTGTTGTCTGATGAGGTAGATTGTATTTTTGTAATTAATTTGATGATTAGTTAGAAGACCTTTACCTTAGTGTGTTTCTCTTCTCTTGCAGTACTACAACGTGTGGCTGAGTCTCTTTGGCTTCATACTGTGTGTTGCCATTATGTTTCTTATCTCCTGGGTCACGTCTCTTATCACATTCTTCGTTGTTTTCGCCCTCTATCTGCTTGTTGTGTATCGAAAACCAGGTAAAGTGAATTCGATTAACAGCTACTAATTACTTAGACCTTCTTTTGATAGGACAAAAGCATAAATACTTGGTTTAGCTCATAAGCAACATGAGAAGCTTTGTAGGTAGGTCGAGACACGTCACAGTACAATAGATTATGGCGAACTTGGGTTGCAAACTATTCAGCAATATCGACGGTGAATTTTAGATATGGCTCTTGTAAAATATATTGTCCTCTTGTGATTATTATAAACATTTGCACATTTTATTCTCATACAAATGTTATTACGGCGATGAAATCGTGGAGAATGTGAAAGGCAGGAGAAGAGTATCTCAGGGGCTTAGTCGGCTGCGTTCCACATCGGCGACCGGAATCTGTCTCAGGTCGTATCATGTGGGATTTGTGGTGGAGAAAATGGCACTGGGACGCATTTTCTCCACTGCCAATTTGAATTGCACCAACAACTCGACATTCATTAGTCATTGCTTCATCAACGTTATATAAGGAGTGGCCCGAAACTCAGTTAACTGTTTAGTAAAATGTAAAATATATTTCGTTATATATGTTTTTAGTACTTACTGAATTTATACAAATTGTTCGAAAAGGAATCTTCCATCTTCAGTGCACAGCTCATAGCGCTGTGTTACCGTTCTACAAATTTACTGATTTAAATCTTAACATTCCCCTTAATATGAGAAAATAATTTAGGTTAACTAAATTTTGGGGCACACTGTAGTGCCAATACAGACATTGTCGTTAAATAATCAAGAATAGGAAGAAAGATGGAAGGGATATGTAGCAAGAGCGGGGGGAATGGGCAAATGCATGCAGAATTTTAGTCAGAAAATTTGAAGGGAAACGCTATTTCAGAGTTCCGGGAGTATGTGGGGTAATAATACTAGAAAGTGTCTTAGAGGTAGGATGTGATATTTGGGCTTGGTAGAGTAAATAAATAAAGAACCCAACAGAAACAGAAGACAAATTGGCTCAGGTGACCTCGAGAGTTAATATTCTTAATTTCTCCAACTCAGTGCATCCATTTGTGAAGTATAGGCCTTACGTCGTGTCCATCCAGTCGCTCTCCTGCTCAAGAAATTCTTCTCCCTTTATGTGACCTGAATACTAATTTCTGTCATCGAAATTATTATTAAAAGATTATTAAAAGACAAATGTTTGGAAAAATAATCCTTAATTCAATACCTAATTCTCAGTACCTCTCATGGATAGTGCGCACTGCCTGCTTCCAATTCAGCACTAATTCTATACGGATTGTTCTTCAGATGTTCGATAAAACTCGTCAGCCGAGGGCTAGAGGAATATATATGAAACTAGATTTAAAATGGTCCCTGTTCTTAGTTCAGTGAGGCCAGTAAACATCCTTACATCTGTAGCTTTTGAGAACAATTTCAATATTATCCTCTCATCTAAGCCAAGGTCTTGGAAGTGGTATTATCCCTGCATACTTTCCGACAAAAAGTTGTAGACATTTCCGTTTTTGACATGGGTGTTCATGTCCCGCCAATTTCATTCTCTTTGACGTTATCAACCTAATGATATTTGACGAGGAGTACATTTCCTGGAGCTATTCATTATGCAATTTTTCAGCCATCTTTTACTTCCTCATTCTTAGGCCCAAAGAGTTTCCTCAGCACTCTTCTCTCAAACACTCTCAACTTATATTGTCCTTAATAGGAAATGCAGTTTCACATCTACACAAAACAATAGATAAGATTATAATTTTGTATACTGTGTTTCAACATAAGCTGCACCAAATATTTTCTGAATTTAATGTGTTCTTAATAGCTGAACTTCGTCACGGCTAGGAAATGAAAAATGAAAAAGCTATAAATATTTATAATTTTCATATCTGCTCTGGTTTTTGCAGACGTCAACTGGGGATCATCGACTCAAGCGCAGACCTACAAGAGCGCATTAACTTCGGTCCACAAGTTGGTAAACGTACACGATCATGTGAAGAATTACGAGCCGCAAATTCTCGTCCTGTCTGGTAAGCCTCAGGACAGGCCCCCTCTTGTGGATCTCGCACACCTCATCACCAAAAACAGCGCACTGATGGTGTGCGGACAAGTGTCGGAGGTGAGTACAAGGCTTATAATCATAGAGTTCTCCATCAAACTCTCTTTATTGACAAGGAATGTTGACGGATTCAAGCATCGTCTAATTTAAATATCTGGTAAAAATATTATTTGGCTATAGAAATGGCAGTTAATGGTAACGGCACCAAATTTTCATCGGTCCTTCTTAGTTTTCAAAACATTACAGGAACTAAACTCTGGATGTGACAATTCTGATAAGATACTTTCGATTTTTGAAGTTACAATTCGAACATTTTTGATAGACTCCTTGAGAGAAATTGTATTAGATAATTACATAGCCGGTAACTCATATATTCAGGTTGTTAGACCTCATAAGAAAATATAAACACCATTTCTATTCTTTACTAATTAGGCCACTCAGCCTCTTACAACTCATAATTAATTCTGTAAGATAATCCTTCAAACCTTATGCATAAATCACTAGATATTTCAATGTGGCTTGCGGAAAAACGAACAGGAATATATTAAGTGAGCTTTAAAATTGGAATTAAAAGGGCCCTCTTTTACAGATACAAAATTTGGCCTTGAAAAAGGAAAAGGAATATCATACAAAGTTGTTATGGAAGTACTGAAAAAGAAAGGAATTTCAGCTTTAGAAAAGAAAACAGTAAATAAAATAATTTTTGGAATGTAATTGTGTCACAGGAAAGACTGTCGCATCGGGCTCGGATGAACCTTACCCTTAAGAGCTATGGCTGGCTGCATGCTAACAAAATCAAGGCCTTTTATGCCCTAGTGGATGACATTAAGTTCGAAGTAGGTGCCAGGGCTCTACTTCAGGCATCGGGGCTCGGGAAGCTGAAGCCGAACATTCTGATGATGGGGTACAAGAACGACTGGACATCATGCACTGCTGAGGACTTAGAAGAATATTTCACTATCCTACAGTAAGAAACCTATATGTTTGTTTTCTTCCTCTCCAACATGAACGCCGTGTAAGGAACTCATAAACTGTAGGTTTGTTTCTAGAGGATCATAAACGTTACGATTTCTTTCATATTTCAGCGACGCTTTCGACAACCGAATGGCTGTTGCAATACTGCGTCTTCCTGATGGACAAGATTATTCCAAATTCGTGGATGAATCGGAGCCCCACGCTTACGTCAACGGCGGATTCAGTCTCGCAACTTCTAGCCAGGATCTGACAGTGAACGATCAATCTGGTTTCATGCGCATTGACTCAGATGTGAGCATTTCGCAAATGGGGAACCAGTCGTCAGATCTCTCACTGTCTGTAATCGGTAAGCAAGAACACCAACAACGTTGAAATATGTTGATCATTGGAACTCGGGTAGAATAGAAAGTTTCGAACTGTGAAACAACAGGTAAAAAGAAAAAAGTAAAGCTATCCCTGTAACAGGCCGCGAAGGCCCATAGGGTTGTGGGACGTTGAGGGTCCCACATTATCTAGACAATCGGCTCAAAGACGGCGGTAAGGTTGTCAGGCTTACGCGCCGGCCGCGATTTACTCCACAGGAAAATTATTTAATTAATTCCTGGTACTCATTTCTGTTAGAGGCTGAGTCGGCCCCAGGGCCATAGTGCGGCTGGAAGGATTAGGTCAATTGAAAGAAAATCCAATGACCTCATCGGCATTTGAAACCGCGACCTTCCGGCTTTTAGCATAGTGCCTCAACCAACTAAGCTACCGCGTGCTTACATGAAACAACAGATGGATGCAGAAAATTAATAACATGGTGATTACTAATTTGCTCTTCACCCCATGCAAGTAAGTTTGTGAAAGTAGGAAGAATTTTATGGACGGATAAATTGATATGCAAAGGTAAAGCAAAATGGAAGTTTGAAGAGTACTCTCTTCTAGAATATAACGCTGTGTAGGCCGTTGAAAGTCAACAGACGTTTCGGAGAACCATATCACCTCCATCTTTAAACATCACTGTGAGAACTTCAAATCATACAAATAGAAGCTTATTTGGAAATGTTAATAGAAGTGGAACATTTGTGAGTTTGGCGGGGAGTGGGAAGTAGAACTGGAGTGTATCATGGCTGTAAAGATGTTAACTGGATTGAACTGGCACAGGATTAGTGGATGGTGATAATGATTCTTCTTATTCCATAATGATAAGGAATATCTTGAAAAGTTAATTTGTAACACTACAAAGAGATAATGTTCCATGGTAATTATTGCATTGTGAAATTGGAAGATATTTCATTTCGTGTCGGAGAAACATATTCCCTCCATCTTAAGGGTGAAAAACGGAAACATCGGCAGGCACCTACCAGAGAACACGGGGGTACGTCTCAGAAAAAGATAATCTTCATAATCACAGTCATGAGAACCTCAAATCTCACTGTTACATTGCGTTTGTACTTCAATTTTTTAAGTGCTAAGACCCCATCATAGAGCAACTGATCTTAGGAATGTTGCACTGCAGCTGCAGAAGTCGCATCTTGAACTTAGAGTCCTTATTAAGATTAAAATACATATATTTCCTGGTAATTAGAATTCCCATCTCACAAATATCAGTAACAAACTGACCAGAGAAAAGTGAAGGCTTATCCTCAGACAAAACGAAGGTACTGCAAAAGACGGAGAGGGGAAACTTGATTACCACTATTAAATATAAAAATTGGGCATGTGGGGATATTTTAGAGGATGGAAAATTAGCGATCAGAAAAGCTGAATAAGAATAATTAAAAGAAGCCTTTATACAGAAAGGTAGAATATGTAAGTGACGTTGGAAAACGGAAGTCCCTGACATAATAACTTAAAGAGCAATTGTGAAAATGGGTCGTTTTCAGAGCCATGTAAAGGAGAAACTGAAAGCGAATTACTATGGCGGAAAATAGGAGTTTAGAGACTGAAGGTGAGCAGAAGAAACACTGAGGAGAGATGTGTTTCATATTGTCACGTGTAGGGGGGTATGCGTGACGAAAATAACGGGTTCCAGTTCAGATTATTGGATATAATAACACTTCGGTTACAATCTCTCAATTACAATTAATATGGCGCTATCGCTGATTTACACAATTCACAGTTCATCGTTGCACGCTCACTAGGATTCTCCGTCTTCACTAGTCCTCTCCTGGCAACGGATCTAACCACAGAAACTAGCGCTTCAAATCACTATACAATCTTCTTGTTATTTCGTCTTCAATCACGCTGTACTTCTCTGTCCTAATCTGCACTCAATCTTCACAATTCACTAAGGACACGCTCCATTCTCCTGCTTGTACTCTCAACTGCTGAACCCTCCTGGATTCTCTATAGCTGCAAACGGACTCATATCATATAGCCGCAGCGCAGGCAACGCAGAAAACACCGTTCTACTGTTGCTTAGCGCAGACCACAGAAAAATGACGTGATAGCTATCTCGCCAGTCAATTGGCATGCTGAGTATTGCCTAGCATCGAGCTATAAACATTCGTCCTATTGTTATGTGCGCGTATCGCAGGGTGTTTATCGAGCTGTTGCCTGGCAATGCGTTGACATGTCACAATATGTAGCAAATAGGATGAATAGAGCCACACAGTGAGGTGTGAAAGAATGAAGTTTTGGAGGGAAGGCATTTTGGAGGGGAGATTAACAAACGTCGGTCCAGCAATAGGCATTTTGAAGATGTCAAAATTAAATTTTTTTTATTGCTAGTGAGGTGGGACTAAGTCCCTTGTACTGAGGCCACTTCTGGCCTATTGTACCAGTCCCAGATGATAGGTGAGGGTGATTGTGGAGCAATTGGTGGAATGAAGATTGGCAGGGGAAACCGAAGTACTCGGAGAAAACCTGCCCCAGCGCCAATTTGTCAACCACAAATCCCACTTGACCAAACCCGGGATCGAACCCGGGCCGCCGCGGTGGGAAGCCAGCGACTAACTGCTTGAGCTATGGCGCAGTCCCAAAGTAAATGTTAGAAATATCAGTCAGGAAGTAGGAATATATGATTAAATATAAAGGTAAATTTGAGTGGATCGTAAGAATGCTTGAGAGTAAAGTAGAAATAATGTAGATTAGGCCTACTAGTAATTATTTTTGATGGAAACAGGATTTGCGTAATAAAAATGTTGCTGTACGATGCATAAATAACGTATTATGGGAATACTAATTCGGATGGAATGTTCTAACGTAGGACAACTGAGTCAAACTTACTCGCCCCAAACTGTAAACAGCAACAGGTTGAATAAAGCGTCCATATTCATTTAAGGAGTAGATAAATTCGATGTGGATATTTCTAGGCTGTAGAACTAATGTTAAGTTGCCTCATGAGGGTCCTCAGGCAATGAAGAGTTACGTAAGATATTAATATTTCTGTTGATAATGAACATATTCACACTTTGTGTAGGGTCCGCAGAGAACTCGCTGACCAACAGCCCGAAACCTTTCCGGCGGTACCTAAACACAAGCAAGTCTGATACGCTCAGCCCTTTATCCATACTGAAACAGAAGAAGAAGGCTCGAGCTGAACAAGTGGGTCTGCAGTAAGTACATGATTTGAACGTTTTCCGGCGTGGATTGTCCGCGTCAATATTCGCATGTCCAGTTAGTTCTACAGCCGATTAAAGCCTGTTCTTCTCCATGGTGTTGAAGCCTGACTTTTTCGAAACCTTATGAATGAAATATATTAGTCTTTGAAGGAATTATCTGAAGGACATTTCTTTCTCTTCCTCTTCCAATTCCACTTCTCCTTCCTCTTCCTATTCTTACTTGACGGATTAGGCTATTTGGCCTGTTCCCATTCAGAATTAATTAATTCTGAAAAAATGAACCTTATAAACAGTGTGTAGGACTCCTTGGACGAGTAAGCCCGTCGCAAGGCCTGTACTTAAATAGGGGGAAAAAAACTAACAGAAGAAGCGTAGACAGACATCCATACCTGGTGAGGGATTTGAACCCACGATCCCCGTGCCTGAGAGGGTGAAAATATTTTATGCCTCAGACCGCTCAGCAGCTGTGATGGACCTGAAGAACACTTCGTGAACCATAAAGAGAGAAAAGGTCAATGAAGCGGACAATACGATAATTAAAATTTGTAAATTATATAATGATTTTGAACTGAGATTTGTAACGCTTCATAATGGACGTTAATATCAATCAGTTATATTGTCGGTTATCCGAATAATAACTGAAATTAATAGAAGTTTCATCTCAGTAGTACTATTTCCTTAGAGATAATTGGCGAGGGTGTATACCTCACCACTCATCTCCAGTTAGAACCGAGGTTATGAATGCTTGCAGCTATGCATCCACTCCCCATACTTCTTCGTGGCGTTGTGCTTTATTAAAAAATGTAAAAATATAAAGCTGTCCCTGTAGCAGACCGTCAAATACCATAGGGTTATGAGAGGTTGAGGTTCCCACATCTTCTAGACAATCGGCTCATACATGGCAGTGAGGTTGTCAGCCTTACGCGCCGGCCTCTCTTTACCCCCAGGAAGATCCATGGTACTCATTTCTGTTAGAGGCTGAGTCGGCCCCAGAGCTATAGTGCGGTTAGAAGGAAAAGGTAAACTGAAGACATTTAACGATCTCATTGGGACTCGAAGCAGTGACGGCTTGTAGTATAATGCTTCAACCAACAACACTACCACGTGCTCCCTGTGCTTAATTAAACACATAGGACATTTTACCCTAATTTCATTTAGGTATGTTATTCGGAACGGGTAAATAAAAGCGAATAGCAGAATGTTTTATTAGGAACTATAAGAAAATCAACTGCGTGGGAGATATGGAATATAAGAGGGCTATTTTACATTGGGTTTTATGGATATTATAGTTACGAGAATTTCAACTGAATTAAAGTGGTTCAGAATCTGTTCAGTAGCGGTAGTGAGCTCTTTTCTGGTGCATTTTATTTGGCGTGTGCTGTAACGCGATAATCTGTGTACTTGCAGGGTGCCCGTTAGTCGCGAGCTTCACAACATGACCCTGTTCCGAGATAAACAGTCAGAAGGGAACATTGACGTATGGTGGCTTTATGATGACGGAGGTAAGGACAGAAATGGATCTTGTTTTGAATTTCGTTTCATATTTAAAGACTTACATATTTACTTACCAATGGAGCTGAGCCCTTCTTGAGGAGCCGCCAATTCTGCAGCTACTCTAGAATTTACCAGCATTTTATGGAACCCGAAAGTTTATAACCATGTTCATAAGAGCCCTCCACTGGTCCCTATCCTGAGTCAGATCAATCCAATCCACACATTCCCACCCTATCTCTATAAGATCCCTTTAATATTGTCCACCCACCCACGACACGTCTTACACAACACGTGGCTTACTTTTCGTATTGCAATAGGCCTCACAATCCTGCTGCCGTACATCATCAGCACACGAAGCACCTGGGTCAGCTGCAGGCTACGTGTCTTCGCTTTAGTGAACCGCCAGAGTGAGGCAGAGCTTGAGGAGCGCAAGTGAGTACCATGCATCTCTAAAGCGCTCTCAAAATAAATGGATGGGACATTTACATTTCTAGAAAAATTCTCCTTTTCTAAGTTTTAACTGCGAGATGTTTCTAGTTGACACAGAATCGCACGAACTCCGTAGAGCGGCGTTCTTAATATAGAACTAATATTCGCTCGGTCAGTAATGTTTCCATCTTTATGGAACCCGAAGATTTCACTGCTGTGTTCATAAAATTCCCCAATATTCCCTATCATGTGCCAGGTGAACCTAATTTCGTTAAGACTCGTTATGATTTTGTGGTCCCATTTACCTCTATGTTTACCAAGTTATGTCTTCCCTTTAGATTATCCAACTAAAGCTTTGTTTTTATTTCTTTTCTCTCCCATGCCTGATACATGTTTTTTCATCTCAGTCCCCCTTGCATTTATCATCCTAATAATGTATGGTGAAGAGTACAAAGAAGCCTCATAATGCAGATTTCTTCAGCCTGCTGCTACTCCTTTCTTCTTAGGTTCGGATATTCTCCCTAGCACCCTGTTCTCACTGGCACGCGGTAGCTTAGTTGGTTGAGGCACTATGCTACAAGCCGGAAGGTCGCGGGTTCAAGTCCCGATAAAGTCATTGGATTTTCTTCAGTTTAGCTAATCCTTCCAGCCGCACTATGGCCCTGGGGTCGAATCAGCCTCTAACAGAAATGAGTACCAGGAATTAATTAAATAATTTTCCTGGGGAGTAAAGAGCGGCCGGCGCGTAAGGCTGACAATCTTACCGCCATCTTTGAGCCGATTGTCTAGATAATGTGGGACCCTCAACGTCTCACAACCCTATGTGTCTTCACGACCTGTTACAGGGATAGCTTTACTTTACTTACTTTTATCCTGTTCTCACAATCCTCAATCTCCGTTCTTCCCTCAGGCTGGGAAACCAGGTTTCACATTCATACAGAACAGTATACGTATAATTACGTTTTGTTACATTTTAATTTAGATCTACGTTTGTAGACAGCAGACGTGAAGAAAATAAATTCTGAACTGAATGGCAGTAAGCTAATCTAGAACTGAATTTGCTCTTAATTTATGTGCGAATGTAATATTCATTATCATTCTCAAATGCTGAAATTTGATCTATTATTTTATGTATTTTCCGTCATACGAAAGCTGAACACATAAATTATGACACAAAAATGTTTATTTTTCTACAGTATGGCCAGCCTGCTGTCAAAATTCCGCATCGATTATCAAAGTCTCAAGATGGTGTCGGGTATCACTGAGAAGCCGAAGAAAGAAACCGTCAACTTCTTCAATAACCTGTTGCAGGGATCATGTGACGGAGATGGTAGGACATAACTCAGCGACATATATCAGAATACGTCACAAAACGATGTCATTTAAATCTTAAGAAATTAGCAGAATAGCCTTAATATATCTGACTCTGTCTGAGTAATAGCTTCTATGTACCAACATTTTTTGTATTACTTCGATGATCACGGTGCAAATTCTCCTACCACAGCTAACAGTACACTCGTATAAATTATATTCACGTCTGTGTTTGAAAAATGCCTGGATCTACTTGGAGCCAGGTATTCTGGTAGGCACTTCTGTTGTTTTATTTCAAACAAGGAATTGAGGGAGTAATTGTCTTAAATCTTTCAAGTACGACGTTTATGTAAATAATACTGCCAAGTGTAGGGGGCACGCGTGACAAAATGACGGGTTCTAGTTCGGATGATTGGATTTATTAACAGCTTGGTTACAACCTCTTTTAATTACATTTAAAATTAGAGCTCTATCGCTGATTTACATACACTTCATAATCCAGTGTTACACGCACACTAGGCCTCCCTTGGTAATGGATCTCAACACAGAAACTAGCGCTTCAAATCACCTCATACACATAAGTAAGTCTCCTAATCACACGCCAAGTCTTCACGCGACGAACTTCCCGTGGCTGTCACTGTCACTTAAACACTTAATCACGCTCAAGTACTCACCAATACTGAAATCTGTTTTGAGTCTGAGTCTCATTTTACTACCGATGGTCAGTCGGCTAGTCTGTCTTGGCATAAACCATCCACCTGGGACTTACGACCAGATCTTTATTTCTGTTTGACAGTTACGGTTTTGTTTTTTATGGGCGCCTCGCTGACGAGAGGACATGTCTTTCTTTTGTATACGCTGCTAGTCCTTGCCAGCGCAGTCTTTCTCGAATCCGAGACCCTTGGTACTCGAGACCATATATTACTGTCTCAAATTTGAGACTTCCCTTTTCGTCTCCTCCTACGACTCGCAGGGTCACGGTGGAGGTGTTCGAACCCGCCTCCACACAGGCCACGGGCCTGTCTCTAACTGTCTTTATATAGCTTCCGCACCGAGCACGCAGCAAACAGCCTATATTGTTGGAGCTATCGCATAACAACAGTCATAACGCCGTCGGCATAGAAAATGCCCCACTCCCATTGTTGCCTTGGGTGTATTCGATCGCGAGTTGTTTAACGATCAGTTACCTAGCAACGCTGTGTCCATCCACGGTACAGTACTTAAAACATCCAGCCACTACCTGACAGAAAACATACTAGCTTTTTTCAAAGACAAACTGGTTAATGGACTTCAGGGGGATAATGATCGTTTGTAATTCTGTGACTTATATGAAATATATATATATATATCGGCCCCGCCCTAGCTCAAGCGGTTAGTCGCTGCTTCCCACCGCGGCGGCCCGGGTTCGATCCCGGGTCTGGTCAAGTGGGATTTGTGGTGGGCAAAGTGGCGCTGGGGCAGGTTTTCTCCAAGTACTTCGATTTCCCCTGCCAATCTTCATTCCACCAATTGCTCCACAATNCACAATCACCCTCACCTATCATCTGGGGCTGGTACAATAGGCCAGAAGTGGCCGCAGTACAAGGGACTTAGTCCCACCCCACTAGTAATAAAAAAATAATATGTGAAATATATAAATGTGCTCTGACGTAAAAAGAAATATTTAATGTTAAAGCATGTTGTGCATTTTTAATTTCTACTTTGCTTTAAAAAGTTAAGAAAAGTTAATTGTACTTAACTAACTCCAAGAACCAAGAGTCATTATTGAGAAGCAAACAGTCGTTGAGCTAGTCAAGAAAGTCCATGTTCCTTATACAGACCTAATGTTCCTTGCCTCATGAATTCAGTCAACACATTCTTTACTAAAGATTTCCGTTTTACATTACCCTCCCAACTACAACTAGACCTTCTAAGTGGTCTCCTCCCATAGAATTTCGTATTAAAAATTTATTTGTCATCTGATCTTGGTCTTAAAGTGCTAGTTCTATAGTCCCTACCTTTATGAATGACGAAGTTAAAACAAAACTGCTTGTCGAATAATAACAGAAATCGACTGATATAGGATTCTTGTATTTTCTTCAGAGGCGCGTGTTAGCAAAGAGGAGTTGACAACAATGCAACAGAAGACTTACAGGCAACTGAGACTCAGAGAGTTGCTGCTAGAGAACTCCCGTGACTCCAGGCTCGTTGTCATGTAAGTTATTAGTTCATAATATTTCATATAGAATTTAGCCTTGTGTTTAACTTCCGTGAACTTATTAAAAATGCAGTTCATATACTAGTATTTGGAAATTTATTCTACATATTATTTGTGGATGTCATAGATACGCCTGTGATAAGAGTAATGAACTATATGATCGGTGTTTGTGGCTGGCGTCTTCCAGGTGCCTGACATTTTTAACAAAAATAATTGAGGTATAATCTAAGAATCTATTAGGGTACGATTTGCCCATCAACATTACTGGGAGTATTTTAAGGTGAATTTTATACTCAGAATTTTCAACAAGAAAGAACCCTTTATCTGAATATGTAATAATACACATGCCGTCGTGGTTGTAGTTCTTTGTCTTTTCTTCCTCCACACTACATGTTTCGGCCGTAATTGACCATCATCAGGTGTATTTTTCACTACGTAGCTGTCACAATGCACACAATCCAAAATCTAAAATATCAGCCTCTCAGTTTTGTTTAAAATCTCGCCAACACACGTTCGTCAATTTGATTTTAGAATTCCAGTCTAAAATACAAATTTCTAAATATATTTTAATTCAAAATTTAGTCTTAAATACCAGGGCCACTTGCTCTTGTCTACATGTGCTGCGGCGGTTATTTCTTGTTTTCAGCACTGTTCATGTATTGTTCTGTGCAGGCTTTATCTGAAGTTACTAATCAGCCAAATATTTGAGGTTATTAGTCGCCGGTTTCTCACTACAGCGACCTGGGTTCGATCCATGGAGACTTTATGTATGATTCATTGTAGACAAAGTGGTAACTTGGCAGGCTTTCTCCCAGTCTTTGTGCCAGTTGTTATTCCACAAAATGCCACATTCTTCCATCTTCTCATCAGGGGTTGGTACAATGGGCCATTTATGGTCAAAATTCTGCAGGCCTCAGTCTCACTCCGCACTAAGAATAATATTAAAAAATAATAATCACACAAAGTACAATATAGATACGCACCAAAGTACATTAGTTTCATTTGGCGTCTGTATAACGTCTGTGTGCGGACAAGTAGACATACCAACTGAAATCTTCATATACTGAACTCTGAGATAAATATCTAATATTGATCATGTTTCCAAACAGGTCTCTTCCAATGCCACGTAAGGGCACGGTATCAGCATCCCTCTACATGGCCTGGCTAGAAGCTCTCACTAAGGACTTGCCACCCTCCCTCTTGGTCCGAGGAAATCACACGTCAGTTCTTACTTTCTACTCCTGAACATGCAACAGAGATAATACATTACACCCTAATTACACTGGGCTCTTCACGACACTCGGAGTTTGCCCAGAACGATGTTTTTAGTGAGCATGCCTCGGCGTGTAGATGCATTTATCGGCTGGCCTTGCATGCGTGGAAAAGTATGCCAGGAGACTACGGTCAAGCTAGAAACAGTCGAAAGAATTCTTTTGAAAAGTGTCCATTCGAAAATGACTAATTTGTGTAAAGACGATATTTTGATATAAAGTATGAATGATATCACCAACATATCTATCAGTCATCATGAAGTGTTTCAAAGTACGTGTGAATCCACAGGATGTTTGCGAGTTTTTTCACTCGTTTCCTTTAAGATACTTGAAGACTTTCACGGAAATGCGAAACTTGCATATGGACATTTGTCTCCGTAATCTTATGAAATGCAACTACAACGTCAAAGGGGTGGAATGAACTTGCAAGACAGTGTGGCTGAAGGAAAATGGAGAATGGTAGGCCAGACTCCCTCATGTTTTCACACTACGAACCAGACGACGAGTCGAAGATTAAGGTTTTTGTTACGTCTAACAGCATTCTGCCGCCAGATATACATATACTGATACATTTCGTATAACCGAAGGAACTAAATGTAATTGAACAAAAATGATATCGAAATGTATTTACTCTCAAATAATAATGTTTACATGTACGCACACAGGCACATTTTGCATGAAAGAACAAAAGAAGTTGGATTGGATAAAAATGGCACTGAAATGTAAATGCATTTGACTTCACAGAATCATAAACATACTTCAATGTAGAAGCATGTGGGTGTATATTTCTGTGACTGGAATTTTAGTATCAAATATGAGGATAGAATATGTGCAGTAGTTGTAGACATTTTGCACTTGAATCAAGGAAAGCGCACATGGTTTATTTCTAAGTACGGGTGTGTACACCATATAAGACCTAAATATTTTATGGAAGTCTTGCATCTAACAATTTTCTATTCCAGATATTGACAACATGAAAAGTGAAGATTATTACCTTCTGGGATACAACACCATGTGGTCCGTTGAAAGTTAACTGACGTTTCGGAGGAAAATACCGCCTTCATCTTCAGGGTCAAATAAGCCAAGCAAGATATTTCCATCTGAGGGGTCGAATAAGTCTAGCAAGATACCAGGTTGAAAGCATGTGACAAGCCGGTTTATACGAAGCTGAAGAAGGAGACAATATGTTCCTCCGAAACGTCCTTTGACTTTCAACGGATTACAAGGCGTTACACCCCGGAAGGTAGTGCTCTTCATAACTACCGCTATGAGAACCTCAAATCCTCAAATCCTCAAATCAAATATATTTTCATTTTACTGCCGAAATTAATGATCTGCCTTCGGTATTAGAGAAGTCTATGCATTAAATTAAATATTTCTCCATTAAAGATAACCTAAAATTACAGTATATCCATACTCTAATTAATTTTATAGCTAGAAATTAATTAATTAAAAACACAGGATTATATTATTGAGATAAATAAAGTAAATAAATTAATTGTTGTATTTATGTACAATAATGAGAAATACATAACATGCTTGCCTAAGTATTTTATTGCAAATAAATTTCAATGTAGTATACCGTTAATTGAAGTATAGACCAAACAGAGTGATTTTATCTCAAAAGTAATATGCCCACTAATTAGGCAACTAAACATTATCAGCCCTAATTCGTCGGATTCCCTTTGGATTACAGCGTGACATGTGAAACAAAGGTTTCTCTACTTCTCTCTCTCAGGATGTATATGACTTCCATCAAGGTCTTTATTTCTTAATTTCTCATCTCAGCCTATCTGATATGGGAAGTTATTTGTTTGTCTCCTAAAATATCTTCACAAAGGGACATAACTTTATCTATTAAACAGAAGTTAAGATACTTGGTCAGTTTCAGTAGGGAAATGATTCTGATAAAGATTCAAGTATTCTGAACCTGGCCCTGTTTATGTAATACAATTTAGATCGTCAGTCTTCAAGAAATGAACCGTATATAAATGAAAAACCAGTGCACAAAGCCAATGAAGAATGCATATGCAGTAAACCCTCGCAAATCCTGGTTAACTGGGGGGAGATCATCCGGATTAAACGATAATGAGGATTAGTGAAGAAAAGTTTGCTCTAAAAGACAAGAAAACTTAGAATATAAATAAGTGAAAAATTTAGTGATATAAGTGGTGCTGAATTGAATTCGGATAATGCTTGCTACTACTCACTTCAGAACATTTCGTCTTCTCGTCTACTGTCTAAAAACGTAAAAATTAGAATAGACAAAAAGCTATAATTTTGCCTGTAGTTTTATGTGTGCGAAATTTTGTCTCTGATATTAAGGGAGGAATATAGACTGAGGGTGTTTGAGAACAGGGTGCTGAGGAGAATATTTGGACAGAAGTGATAGGAGGTTGGAGAAATCTGCACAATAAGGAGCTTCGTAACTTGTACATTTCAACAAGTATAACTAGAATGATCAAGTAAAGGAGGATGAATTGGACAAGACATATAGCTCGATTGGAAAGAATAATGATGGTTTGAAGAAACTGTCATGTTTTGTCTGTACAGACAAGTGACTCGTCTGTCCTCCTAAAAGTTATGTCTCTTTTAAAGTATGAACTCAACTGCGCAGAGCATTTTTCATTTTCCATATTTCGATTCGGATTATCCGACATCCCAATTAAATGTAACCGGATTAGCGAGGGTCATAATATTTTTCAGTGAACTTAATCCTTCCAGCTTCATCCTCTAACAGAAATGAGTACTAGGGAACTTCCGGGGGGTAAAGGGCAGCCGTCTCATAAGACTGACAACTTCGCCGCTATCTGTAAGCAAACTGTCTAGAATATATGTAGAATGCTTAACGACCCTATGGACCTCCACGCCCTGTTACAGAGATAGATTTACTTAATAATACTATATAAATTTTCATGAATTTGGATTATGATTAATTTTGTCTTTAAACTGACTACGTAGTAGTAGCCATTTTGAGCTCGATTCAGGACTACGTCTTTGCAGATATCTTCAGTAGTCTTATACAAGTTCAGTGGTTAGTGTACTTGACCTCTTCTTGTATTTGTGACTCTTCGCTGTCTGGATTGTTCCTAAACGGTTAGCACCCTGCAGTCATGTAACAAGTGTAATTTAATGCTGCTACACTGGCAGTGTTTGCTTGTTCGGCAATCACGTGCAAGTTAGCCTATATCCGTCAGCAGCTTTCAACATTTGCAACCAGGTTAGCTTGTGATAACTGCTGACATCTGGGAAGCCAAAATCAACGCTTCGAACTTCTGGATTCCTTTAGTGCAACATTGAGAGATGTGAAATAAGATCTACAAGGCATTAAGGAAAGTTCGGTACGTACATGTACTTTTTATGCATGAGTATGTACATTATTATTATTATTTTATTTTTCTTTATAGAATAAAAGGTTCATATGCTGATACCACCAACAGAAAGTAGTGGATGGATGTCAAGGTTCGGAAACAATATTATCGAGATGTGCCTTATATTATCAGCAAATTGCAATGGTTACAAGATCCAAGCATTTGGGTTGTAGTGTACTCCAGTGTCCTTGAATTTTTATTCCTAAAAAGTGTTAAATTCTGTTAAATCATTTAGAAGCTCTTCTACAGAGAATAACATGAATTTACCATTATTAGGCATCTTTACCTTCGTATCAGCCCATTGTAATCCACCGATCCCTTTTACATGGCTTTGAAATCTAAATTAATTCAGTTTATTGAACATATAAAAAAATAATAAGTTTCTCTGAACTGTAATATAATGTTATAATCGTTCAATACAACATCTGTAGTGACGGTTAATAATAGGTATGCAATTTACACTAACACGATACTGGAGAGTGTCCGTTGTCAGGAATGTGTCATGTGGGGTGTGAATGTACGAAATGCTTTCAGGTCGTTATATTGACAGGCTATTTGTAATTTGTAGAATTTTAGCATCGATCATTCCTGGGCGGCCCCAGTGGTTTAATGATTCCTCATTCATGAAGCTGAGCCTTTCTTGAGAAGCCGCCAATTGTACAGCTATTCAAGAATTTCCCAGCATTTTATTGAACCCCAAGGTTCATTGCCGTGTTCAAAAAAGCCCTCTACTGGTCCCGATTCTGAGCCAGATCAATCAAATCCATATCTCATCCTACTTCTCTAAGATCCATTTTAATATTGTCCACCCACCTACGTCTTGGTCTTCCCAGAGGTCTCTTTCCTTCTGGCTTTCCCACAAATATCCTATATGCATTCCTCTTCTCCCCCATTCGTGCTACACCCTCTGCCCATCGCATCCTCGTTGTCTTAATTATTCTGATTATTCTTGGAGAAGAGTACATGTTATGACGGTCCTCATTATTATTTAATGATTAGCATATTAAAAATGTTTTGTCTCGAGCCCAACCATTGCCACTGATCTTTAAATAAAGAAATAGAAGAGTTTTGCAGAGGAGCTATGTGAATCACTAATATCCATCGAAGCAGAAAATGTGCCTTACTGTTGAATTATGAAATTGACGTCGATCACAAAATATTGGACATTGTTGCGTTAAGCTTTGTGATCATCTCTTGAAGAGCGCTCCAAAAAGTTCATCAGGAACATTAGATATGTGTATGTTTCATTCAGCACCTGCAAAAAGAAGAAAGTTCTTTATTTCTCAGACAAAAATATCAACTTGAAATGTTGCTACCATGGTCGTGATAGGTCCAAAACATACGCCGATTTTGGTTCGACATATTTGAGGCTCGTTACTCGCCCTATTTTATAGGGTGCTTGCTTCCGTATGGGAATTCCTTCATTTCAGAAATCGTATTGCCGCATTAACGAGGTCAATTGAATTCTTCGGATTTCCCTTTCTAGAAACGTTTTTTTTTCTCGCTCTTTCCCAAATCTTGAGGACTAATGACATAATTTCTAAGGGAAGGTTAATATTTAGTATTATAGGGTATATTATACATGCAATTAAATACAAATTGAATGGTACCAGCTTCTAGAATGTAACGCTGTGNTTTTGTGTGTGGAGGTCGCTGCGTGTGTTGTGTATGTGTGTGTCGTGCCGCGGGGGGGGGGGGGGGGGGGTACGCGTGACGATAAAAACCGGTTCTCGATCGGATGATGGGATTTATTTGTATTCGGCTACAGTCTCCCTTAATTACAATAATACAGCGCTATCGGAGTGCGCGGTAGTGTATTTGGTTCAGGCACTATGCTACAAGCCGGAAGGTCGCGGGATCGAATTACGATGAGGTCATTGGAGTTTTTCAATTTACCTAATTACCAGCCTCACTATGGCCCTGGGGTCGACTCGGCCTCTAACAGAAATGAGTACCAGGATTACCAAATGAGTACTTGGAATATTCTTGGGGGTAAAGTGCGGCCGGCGCGTAGGGCTTACAACCTTACCGCAATCTATGAGCCGTTTGTCTACAAAATGTGCGAACCTCAACATCTCACAACCCCATGGACCTCCAAGGCCTGTTACAGGGATACCTCTTCTTTTACTTTACTTTTTTACAGCGCTGTCGTTGATCTACACAATTTACAGTCTACCGTTACACACACACATTAGCTTTCTCAGCCTTCACTAGTCTTCTCTTGGCAACGGAAATAAAACTGTCTCACTGTGACTAAATCTTTTAATCGCACAATAAGTCTTCACAGAG